GGGCCCACGGGCTTCCAGGTAGCCGATCGCTTTTGTACCAGACAGATGTTTGAGGGGGAAAAGGCTTTTCTGAGTTCTGCAGCCCGGGACCAGACTGGGAGGTGGCACGCAGGTCCCCCCACCAGTTCCACTCCTGCCTCAGTTTCCCCGTCTGGAAACGAGCAGCCACATGCTCACTAGGTTGAGGGGCCACTTGCTGAGGCCCAGGCTCCTGGCTGCGGTGGCCACCGGGTTGGGGGTCTTTAGACCAGAAAAGCCAGTGCCCAACCGGCACCGGGGACAGGCAAAACCTCTGCTTGGCCCGTGGGGGCACCAGTAAGCTCAGGTGAGTGAGGCAGACGGAGGCTTCTTGGCTGCTTTGCTGTCGCCCTGTGCCAGACGAGAGCCAGGAGGCAGGGGGCAGACGGAGGGGGGTGTGCAGGGTAGGCAGACACGGAGGCCCCGAGGGCGGGGGACAGTGGGAGAGGCAGAGAGACACAGGAGTGTGGTCCAGACGGCAGTCGCGCAGAGGGCTCCTGCCAGGAGAAGGGGGGCTCCCAGGGAGGCAGGTGGGGGCGTCTGGCTCTGCCGCCGGGTGCTTCCTGCCGCCTGCCTGGCCCCATACAGCCGCGCTGTCCACGGTGAGGCCCAGCTGCAGCCGGGCCTGCCGCCCACCAGGGTGCTCCACAGATCCCGGGCCAGGTGGGCATCAGCGGGGTCTCATCTCCCAGCCTGTGTGTGCCACTGGGGGTGGGGCTGGGAAGCAGAGGCGTTTATAAAGCCTTAAACCCGTTTATGGGCCCAGGGGGCAGATTAACAATGCAGCCTGTTCTCACCACGCTGTCCCAGCTGCAGTGCAGACTCCGAGCTGCCGACCGCGGCTGCGGGGTGGCCTCTGCCTGCGTGGCGCTCCCGTGGCTGAGCTATCCCTGCCCTCGCCTCTCTCCCCAGCCCGGTGGAGATGGCTCCCTGCGGGGGTTGCTCTGAGCCTCTTCCTCCAGGAAGTCCCGGGACTTCTCACCACCCACCATGGGACACCCACAGCCCAGTTTAGCTGTTCTCGGAACCCCGGGGCTGGGTCTGCCAGCCGCCCTTTGTAGCCCCCACAGGCTGCATCATTGTCCCCTGAACAGCTTGGCTTGCTTCTCACTCCAGGTCCCACGCAGGGCCCTTGGAGCAGGAGGGGTCTGCAGAATGAATGCTGCCTTCCCAGATAAGGACACTGAGGTCAACAGCAAGGGTACAGCAGGATGCTCCTTAACTGCTGGGCCTCTCGGGGACAGTGCACAGGTCCCTCAGGGGACCCCCTAGCCTCTGAGGAGGTCTGGGAAGACAGCAGGGCATGGGAAGTTCACCTGGGTCGATATATTTCTTCCAGTGGCTGGACAGTGGGACGTGCTCCCTCCTAGCCCTGGCTGTTTGAGGTTCTGTGATGTTCAGGGAAGTTCTGGAAGTCTTCCTGGAGGAGGAGGGCTTGTGCTGGCTTTGATGGACGGAGGGAGGCGTGCCCCAGTGCAGGGTTTCGCACACACAGATGGGATCCTAGAGGTGGGTCTGAGGGCTGTGTCACCCTTGGGATGGGTTAGAGTTAACCGTGGGTAACATAGGGCTAGGCCAGGCCCCGGAGCCCTCAGCCTGTCCTGGAGTTGTTGCTTCTGGGCAGGCTGAGACTATCCAGCTGGCCGGGGCTTGTGTGGGCAAGGTGGCCACTGACAACCCTGGGCACCCAGCCTGGGCACCCAGCCTTCCCACCATGCCCTGGGCCAGGCGAGGCAAGGCACCAGCTGCTGCGTACCTGAGAGGGACAGTATGCCCGTGCTCTCACAGCCCCTAGGTGCCCACTTACAGACAGGACACGGGGCAGGGGGCAGGATGGAGCACAGCAGGTGGGTGACGCTCTGAGGGGTCCTCACTGCACCCAGGGCCCTCGGCCTGCCTGGCCGTCCACAGTCCCTGCCCTGCAAGGCCACCTACAGTTCTCACCCCTGAGCTTGGCAGCATCCCCCCACCGTGCAGCGGGCACTGGTGGTCAGTTTTGGCTGCCAAAGGAGGCCGGCCCAGCTCCCCGCCTCTGTGTTCATCCTGCCTCCTTGCAGCTCCTGGTACGTGGCCAGCCACTCTGGCCAGGTCGCTACTCGGGCACTCCTGTGTCTCCCCCGGAGCAGCGGCTAGTGGGGGCCAGCGGGCAGTCAGGTACCAGTTCTGTGTCCCAGCCTGGGCACACACCAACCCCACCCCAGTGCACTGCCTAGCAGTCACCCCCTGGGCTCAGGGCCAGGACCCAGGGAAGGGGCTGGCACCCCGACTTCATCACTGTGGTATCCACCACCACAGAGGCACAGGGGACGCAGGGCCTTCATGTAGAGGACTCTTGGGGCTCTCAGATGGGATGGGCAGCAGAGGACGTGCACGGCCCCAAGGTGGACTGGAAGGGCTGGTGGGCCTGCTCTTGCTGGGTGGGGGTCCAGGCAGGTCGTGTGTGCCCTGCAGGCCCACCAGGCTGCTGTGGGCTCTCAGAGGAGGGCCTGCCAGGCGAGACAACGGGGACAGGACGGTCTCTCTCCCTGGAGGCCCTCGCCCCCCTCTGCAGTGTGGTGCCCACGTCGTGGGCTAGCCTCGCCTTCACAGGCCAGGGTTTGCTGGGGTCTCCTGGGAGGCCCCAATCAGTTCCCCACCCTCCAGCATCGAGGCCCAGCACCTCCTCCAGCACCGTGGTCCCGGCCACTGAGGGTACCTCTGCTGCCCAGGAGAAGCCCACCCGGGTCCCTGTGGGTCCACAGGGGGTGGTGAAGCCGTAGGGCCCGGGTCTTAGCTGCCGGCTGCTCTGCCCAGCTTGCAGAGGGGGCCTACAGCCAGCACCTGGGCAGCGGCCTGCTGAATCCTGCAAGTCAGCCCGAGCCAGTGGGCAGCGAAGGTGCTGGTACTGCCAGGCAGGGTGCCCAGAAGGTGCGGGTCTTAGGGCTCCTTCTCTCTTGTCACGATGCTTTGGGTCTGCCTGGACTGGTCTCTGTCTGTCTGTCTGTCGGTCTTTGGAACCACCCACGGTCTATCTGTGCCTCTATCTGTCTCCTGTGGGACCATCTGGACCCTTCTGTCTATCGGTCTGTCTGTCTATCTGTCAGGCCCTGCCTTTCCATCTGTCTGTCCGGCTCCGGGTTCCAGGCCCAGCTTTGCCTGGATGAGCCTCCCTGTCAGTGTGTGTCTGTGACCCGTCCATCTCTCCCAGGAGGGCTCCTCACCCTGGCCTGGCCCAGTGACTATCCCAAGTCTGGCTGCCATCTCCGAGGACACCAAACTGCCTCCTGCCCCCCGATCTCGTCTGCTGATTGTGCACCCATATTCCGGCACAAGGACGAACCGGCCGGCTTCCAGCAAGCCTTTGGTGTGGGTCTTTAGAGGCCACGGAGCTCAGCTCACTGGCGCTGCGCAAGCCGAGATGGGACATGGCACCTGTGCCATGGTGCCCCAGGCCGGCTGGGTGGCCTGGGTTCCAGCACAGGGTGGCTCCGGCACCTGAGGGTGCCCCAGATGTCACCCACCCAGGATGGGCCTCAGGGAGCAGAGCCCAGCTCCCGTTCTCCAGGAGGGCAGTGTGGGTTGCTGTGTGTCTGGAAAGAGGTTGGGAGGGGCAAACCCCGACTTCAGCGGCTTAGCAGGAATGGGGCCCTTGTGCTGCACGCTGTACACTGTGGGCTTTGGGGCTAAGGTGCTTTGGATGACTAAGGACCAAAATTAAATGTACTTTTTAATTAAAAACAACCCCTCCCAGTGAACTTGAATATACAGTTGGTGAGGAAAGAGCGACATGGACAATTATTTCCTGTGACTCTGAAGCTGTCTGTCGGCCGTATCCCTAACGTGATGGGCACAAGAAGGATAAAGGAATATCAGTGCTTCCAGAAGACGTGTTAGGAAGAACAGTGGTAGTGTTATTTCAGAATTACCAGGCCAGCAGGAAAGCACAAATAAACAGTGGCAACAGAAATAAGATTTAACTGCAAAAGTCATCACATTTTCACAAGAAGCCCTAATTTTAAGTAGAAATATTGACACACACTCTTATTTTTTCTCTGCTTAAAAAATAACTGCCTCCAGCTGTAGTCACTGAAAACATCCAGGACCAGGACTATGAGGACCCTCCGCTTCCTATGACCTCGCCAACCCCTGCTGTTAAGCAAAACTCGGTCAGCCCAGATCAAAATGAAACAGGGGCACTGCCAAAGCCACAGTCCCATAGGATCAGGAACACGGAACAGAATAGGGACAATCGCCGGGCATGGTGATGCATGCCTATCATCCCAGCACTTGGGAGGCTGAGGCAGGAGAATTATAAGTTCAAGGTGCACCTGGGCAACTTAATGAAACTCTGTCTCACAATACTAAAATAAATTAAACAAAAAGGGTGGGGTGTAGCTCAGCAGTACAGTGCTTGCCTAGTGTCTATGAGGCCCTGGGTTCAATCCCTAGCACCCCCAAAAAAGCCCCAGGAGTAAATCCACTTAACAGTACCGGCGTGAACAGGGACTGTGGAAACAGTGATGGTAAACTCTGTGTTAGATGCATTTTACCACAACTAAATATTCAAAAGCCAAAGGATGGGCTGTGTTAAAGTGTGGAATGTGGTCAGAAATTATGTTGTAGAAGAAAAGCTCATGATACGGAAACCAAAGCTGGTTGTGCTTGTGTTCAGGGAGAGCGGAAAGGCGCTGGCCAGCCCCGTGCTAGCTTGTCTGCGCTGGACCAGTGTGAAAGTGGGCACCTTCAGGCAGAGGCGGAAGGGCGCTGCCACCGTGAGAGGACGTGACGCTGAGTGCTCTCGAGGTCGGCACAAAACTCCGCACTCTTAGTACCTGCTGTGGGGAAACTGAGGCAGGGGCAGGAAAGAGGCTGCCTGAGGCGGAGCAGGGCCTGGACCTCCTGGCCCCCACCCCTGCCCGGGTGGCACCCGGCCTCCCTGGAGCAGCCGGGGAGTTTCTCCTCCCGTCGCGCTGTCTCCGTGGTGACTCTGGTGTCTGCTGCAGGCTGTTGATGGAGAAGTGGGCGGATGACAGCCGGGACCGTGGTCATCACCGGGGGCATCTTGGCGACTGTGATTCTGCTCTGCATCATTGCCGTTCTCTGCTACTGTCGGCTCCAGGTACCCCAGAGCAGGAAGGGTGTGGGGTGGGGAGCCGTCAGAGGAGGTGCTGGGCACCCAGCCCTGAGAGGACAGCACCGGGGCCTCAGCGGTGGTGACCACCTGCTCACCCAGGGCTTTGGCCAAGGCTGAGAGAGGGTCTGGCCCTTGGCCCAGCGCATGCAGACACCCAGGGAGTGAGCAGAGGTGAACATAGTGGCTTCCTGTGTGCTGGCCCCCACTGTGCTGCAGGGCTGTCCAAGACCCCCGTGACTCCCCCAAAGAAAAGGGGGAGCCTTTTGTGCAGGGCAAGGCACCCAGATAGGGCCTGGACACCAGCTCTGAAGCTCTGGGGCTGCCTGCTGCTTATGCCTCAGTTTCCCCATGTTGGGGTTGCTGCTCAGACGGGTGCATGAATCGTAGTGAGGTGCTGAGGGTGCAGCTGGGCGGGTCTCCCGGGGTGGTCAAGCGGGCGCATCCAGGCGGGGCTCTCCTGCTGTCTCGGGGACCCTCCCCAGGGAGCACATGCAAGCCAGGGTGTGTCCTCTCCCGCAGTACTACTGTTGCAAGAAGGACGAGGCGGAGGAGGACGAGGAGGAGCCGGACTTCGCCGTGCACACGCACGTGCCGCCCCTGCACTCCAACCGCAACCTGGTGCTGACCAACGGGCCGGCGCTCTACCCCGCCGCCTCCACCTCCTTCAGCCAGAAGTCGCCACAGGCCCGAGCCCTCTGCCGCAGCTGCTCCCACTGCGAGCCGCCCGCCTTCTTCCTGCAGGAGCCGGACGACGATGAGGCCGAGGAGGGTGTGCGCAACGGAGGGGGCCGCGTGGCCTACAGGAGCATCAGCCAAGAAGACGTGGAGCTGCCGCCCGGGGGTTTTGGGGGCCTGCAGCCGCTCAATCCCAACCGCCTGTCGGCCATGCGAGAGGCCTTCTCACGGAGCCGCAGCGTCAGCACCGACGTGTGACCCTGTGACCAGTGCCCGCAGCATGCGGTCACCCTGCCCCGGGAGGCCTTGAGGCCATGGCAGGATGCCTGTGTGGCCCACCCCCGGCCCCAGGCCCGGGCCAGGGCTCTGCCAAGTCATCCTCCTGTCCCCATCCCTGTCCCCGGGGGGCCCAGGTGTGGGGATAAGACTCCATGAATGCAGGTGTGGCCAATGCGGGTAGGGATGGCTGGGCAGAATGGGCAGCAAGCCTGGCACAGGGACAAGCAAGCGGGGGTGAAGAGAGCTGCTTGGGGCTGGGCCCTGGCATGGGCCATTTTCAAGGGATGCGGGACAGCAGTATGGCCCTTGCAGTCACTCCCATCCCGGCCTTGACCTTCTTACCTTTTCTAGGAGGGTGATCTCAGTGATGCCAGAGCCCCGATTGCAGATGGAGGGCTCTGCACCGGCAGCCTGAGCTCCGCCCCTTCCTCTGTCTGTCTGTCTGTCTCTCTGTCTGTCTGTCTCTCTCTCTGCCACACACCTGCTGGGCCTGAGATGCCCATGTACTGAGCTCCCTACAGCTGGACAGCTCCCCCCACAAGCACAAGGGCAAGTCTCGGGCAACAGGGCCCTTGGCACAAGCAGGCGCTGGAGAGGGAGACCCTACTTGGGGCGGGGCTTGGCCCTAAACCCAGAGGCAGCCAGGCAGAGGTGGGCAGGTCGATGGCCTGGGTTTCAAAGCCCCCAGTGCACTGAGATTTGAACAGGCCTTTGCAGCTCTGGGCCTCCACGCCCCTGCATGTGAGAAGGGCGCTGGCCTCAGGGTCCTCCCGGCTCTGGCTGTCGGCAGCAGCAGCAGAGGTCCAGGGGAGACAGAGCAAGGGGTCACCTGGCTTCCACGTGCTTCCTGCTTGGAGCGAGGCCCCAGCCCAGCCCTACTCAGTGCCCGGCAGGACCTGGCTGCCCCACCTGGAGGCCTCCCTGTGCCTGCGTCCATGGGCTGCAGCCCAGGCTCCCTGAGAACTCTGAACTCTCCCCTGCCTCCTTGATGGCCAAGATGCCGCAGACCACCCCAGGGAGGTGCCCCAGCCAGGGCACTGTTGTTGGAGCACAGTGCTGTCTGCCCAGAGAGGATGTGGGCCCAGAGAGCCCTCCTCTCGGGCACCCCCTCCCCTGCCTGGAGCCCGGGATGGGCAAGCACACCCAAAAAGGTGCGGCTGTCCAGACCGGTGGTGTGGAATCACCAGCCCTTTTCTTCCTCCTCATCCTCCTGCCTGCCCAGTCTGGATTACCAGGAGATTCGCTTCACTGAGCCTGGTCCTTCCCTTCCCCCCTCCCCCTATGGATCCCCACCATTGGCATCAACAGGGGGCCCTGCCTGTCCGGCCTCTGCCCCCTGGGTACAGACCCACAGGTCCGTTTGAAATGAACTAAACGTGCGTCCCTCCCAGCTCACCCATCGGCACACCCTGGGGCCCACTGGGAGGCCATGGGGCTCCTAGAGCAAAGCAAAAGTCAATAAACCTGTTTCCCACACTTCATTCTGCGTTTTCAGTCCCCGTCCCCACCAGGTCCCAGGTGCCAACCTTGCCCGGAAGCCACCCCAGTGCCAGGTGGGGTTGGCCGACGGGGTCCAGGCTGTGTTCTGAGGGGCCCAGAACAGATTTCTATCAAGGGGGCCCCACAGCAAGCTGTCTTGGTTTCTTGCATCCACCAGGGATGTGTGGCTTTTCCAAGATTGGAAACCCCAGGTAGAACAACCTGAGACAGGGCAGGCAGTGCATGTGTCAGTGCCCCATGAGTGCTGGCCCTAAGGAGGACTGGGAGGAAGGAAGTTAGACAGGAGGATATGGGGTGGGATGGGAGCCGAGCAGAGAGACAGAGAGGGTCCCCCCAACCTGGGTTTCAGGAATCAGTTCTGCTGGGGCCCAGCTGGTAACCTGCAGCAGGTCTGTCCCACCAGCCTCTAAGCCCAGGATCTTGGGAAGAACTCTGGTGGTATCAGCCCTGTTGCAGTCCCCACAAAAACGCGGGGGTGCAGAGGAGAGGACGCGCCTGGCTGGGTTGCTGCCTGTCCCCTGCCAGCCCAGGTCCTGCAGAGCTGCCCTGCTAAAGAGCTCTGCAGTGGCCGTGGCTCTGCATCCTCCACTGGGCACCAGCCAGACCTGCATAGAAGAGGCAGTTGGGCAGTTGGGCAGCCGTTGGTCTCTCTAACCCCTGGGCCCCAAGGGGGCCCTGCCCGGGGCCACCTAGGTGGGCAGTTGTGGCGTGAGTGAGGGCGCCCTGCCCTCCTTCCCCAGCACCTCCCATGCCCTGCACTTACTGCTGGGGACTCTGAGCAGCTGTTTCCCTGCTTCTGCTTCCCCCCTCTCATGGAGAAAAGCTGCAGCGACCTCTAAGTTCCCTGTCCCCCAAAGATCCACGGGAGGGGCCCCTCCCTGAGGACCGCATCCAGGCTCAGGGTGCCTGCAGGTGGAGAGCCCCGGTCACCCTGAGGTCCACTGCTGCCCCGGACCCCACGCCCGTGGACAGCAGGCTTGAGGCTCTACCAGGACCAGCTGAGCTCTGCATCCTGCTGCCCTCGCCCTCCCTGTCTCTCCACCCTTGCACCTTTGTTGGGCCTTCGAGGCCCCCAACAGCCCTGGAGGCCGCCATAAATAAGACCACTTTGACCACTTTATTAACATAAACCGGTGAGTACGGCGGGGGTTATAGGGCATCCTGCTGCCCATGAACAAATACACCATAAAAAAGAGGGCCTGCCCTGGGGCGTAGGGTGTGCCCATCCCTCCAATACATGAGCTCCTACACAGCAGGCGGAGCCTACGCTGAGCTGTGAGATTAACCCCCTGGAAGGAGGACTTCTGTGCACATCAGGAACCGGGCAGTCTGGGCCTCCCAGTGCCCGCAGCTCCTGCAACCCAAGTCACCTGAGCGAGGGAGGCACTTCCTTCCCCAGTCGTCTGCAAGTCACCTTGAGAAGCCCTGCTGGTCCAGTCAAGGCCTTGAACTACAGGAACTTCCCCCCCATGCTGGGCGGAGCCTCTGGTTCAGGCTGCTGGTGGGAGCCTCAGAAAGGGTCCGTGTGGCCCTGTGGGCAGTTTCCATGGCGGGCACTGGGGGCCCCGAAGTCCTTCTTGTGGACCAAGGCTCAGTGTCACATCTTCCCAGCCTGGGGGACTGCAGGACAGTGTCCAGGGGGGTCCCTGGAGCTGCAGCAACCCCAGGACAGGGCATGTGGATCTCAAGGGGCTGCAGCACCCCGGCTGGAAGCGGGGGGCCTGCAGGAGCGGCAGCAGGCCTTGCTGTAGTACCAGTGGCTGCAGAGGTTCACCTTGATGGCCAGGGCACAGTTGGTGCCCGGTTGGTCCTGGCAGCTGTCATCTGGGAAAGGGACATAGGGTGGGGTGAGGGTGTCAGGAGGAAATAGGGTTTCTTCACAGCCCATCATCCCCCTTTGTTATTTGTCATTTTGAGACTGGGTCTTGCTAAGTTACCATGTTCCCCGGGCTAGGCATAAACTTGTGATCCTACTGCCTCAGCCTCCCAGAGTGCTGGAATCACAGGCTTGTACCACTGTGGCCAGCTAAACAGACACTCTTCCCAAAGCACAGAGCTCAGCATGGCTCCCCGGGGCCTCGGAGCCCGGCCAGGGCTCCCTGCTCCCTGTTCCACCTCCCCTTGGCCATCCAAGAGGGATCCTCCACACCTGTGCCCTCCAGCTGGTGGCCCGCTGACACGGAGGCACCCCTACGCCCGGGAGCTGCCTGGGCCTCCTCTGGGAACCCAGCCCTGCCTCTGCCTCCTGGTTCTCACCTGGGGGCTCCGTGGGGCAGGGCTGCAGGTCGCAGGCCTGTCTGCCAACGGGCTTCACCAGTGGGTCGCAGCCACGGACGATGTCGGTGCCCTGGTAGCACTTCACATCCCGCATCCTCACGCCCACGCCGCAGGTCTTGGTGCACTGCGGGGAGACAGATGCGTACAGCGCACAGCCTCCCATGCCACTGGCAGGACCCCCCAGGGAACGAGAACCTGCCCTGGGCCTGCCCCACCCACACACCGCCTCAGTTTCTCCAGCTGCACCAGGAAGGATGACTGCACTCAGGTGGGCGCCAGGGCTCCCACCGTCCGGGATCTGTGACACAGCATTCACGACTGGCCCATCCCACACATCTGGGAAGCCACAGCTCCACCTTGGGTACCCCATCCAGATGTTCCCTGCTCAGCTGCCCAGAGCGCAGGACATCTGCTCACCGTCCACCCTCATGATCCCGCCCCATCCTCCTGCCAGGATCCTATAGGCAGCAGCTCCTTGACGCAGGGAGCTGCGTCACTCACATGCCTGGGCCCCAGCCCTGGCCTCCCTCGGTGGGTGGGGTGGGCATCCCCCATCTCGACCCCCAGTTCTGTCTGCACAAGCACAGGGAGGCTGAGAAACTTGGCAGGAGGCCCTGCCCGGCCCTGTCTGGAGGCAAGGAGAGGCCAGCTTGGCACTGCTGCCAAGGGACAATCTGCCTTTGGCAGACACCACGAGGAACCGCTGGATGTGCCCCTGGAGACGGGTGGGCTCCCAGCCAGTCCTGGCACCCGCGCCTGTCCCCAGGGAGGGGATGGGACAGGGGAGCTTAAGGAACAGACATGGAGCCCGTGCATGGCATCGTGGGAGGTGGCCCCCCCACAGGACAGATGACCTGGACCAGCGTGGTCACTGCAGCCCTCATCCCAGCTGGGCCCTCCTCACCAGACAATGCTACCTTTGGGGTCCCACACCCCTACCTCTTCCCTTCTGTGGCCCAGAGTTCCTGGACCCACAGCTGCTGCCCACCTGAACCTGGCGCTATCCCCAAAGCACAGAGCTCAGGATGGCTCCCCAGAGCCCCAACCCTGGCCAGGCCTCCTCTGTCCCCTTTCTATGTGCCCTCAGCCACCCAGGAGGGACTCCCACTCCTGGACACGCCCGCATCCATCCAGCTGGAGTTAGCTAATGGCCATGCCTCCTCCACGCCCTGGATCTGCCTGGAGCTCTTTGGGGAGCCCAGCCTTGCCTCAGCCTCCCTGTTGTCACCCAGGTCTTTGGAGAGTCTGTCTTTGATTGTGACAAAGGACGAGGTGGACGGGCGGACATCCCATACAGGACAGAGTTCAGCCCAGACACCTGGGGCAGGAAGAGGTGCTCGAGCCAGGCGCACCCTGGGCAGGAGCAGGACACATGGGCCCTGCCTCACAGGCCCCCAGGGTCCTCACCTGGACAGTTAAGTCACAGCATTTGACGTGAGTCCAGCACACACATCAGGCAATGCTACTTTTGGGGTCCTGGACCCACAGCTGCCCCCGTACCTGAACCTGGGGCTGTCCCAAAGCACAGGGCAGACATCCTCGGTGTGTGAGACATGCCACAAGCACCACAGTGACAGTTCTGGTCCCTATGTCCCACCGGCATAGCCTTCTACTGTCTCTAAGGACCAATGCATAAGCAGCCGAAAAACCCGGTCACACCTCCTGACTATGGAACTTGCTCCCCAGCCCCTGGCCAGTGACTCCTAGGGACAGCTCTGGGCCCCACATGCCCTCCTGAGAGCTGACGGCCTTGCGTGGGCACAACGCTGGACTCAGGCACTGGGCGGGGACATGGGCAGCTTGGCAGTTTCTGAAGCTGGCTTCCAGCCACGCTGTCTCTGGCCGCCAGAGTTGGGGGTGTTGACAAGCTCCAGGGCCCAGGGCCGTGGCAGGAGGCCTCTGCGGGAGGGGTGGGGATGGACAGGATAGCAGGGCTGCCCACGCCGGGCCTGGCCCCTCCCAGGAACTGGGGCCACGCTTGCCACAAGCTCCCGGCCTGGGCTCCGTGGGGTGGGCTGGCTTGGGCTCCTTCACTCCGTGTCCTGTCCACCACACACTGTAACCGGGGGCCCCAGGAGGTCTCGCTGAATGCCTGCCTCTTCCTCTGAGAAATGGGAAGCTTGGCACCCTCAGCAGAGCCCAGGGGAGGAGACCCCGGCTGGGAGAGGAAGGTGTGGCTCTGTGGGCAGAGGGGGCGCTCGGCTCTGCCCTGGCCAGCTTCCTGAGCTGGGAACCTGGAGGGCAAGGAGCCCACAGATGGGTGCAGGGCCCGGCCCGTGTCAGAGGGGGAACATACCCCACTGTTCACCTGCACCCCAAGCCCATGCCCCTGTCTTGGCTGCGTCCCATGGAGGGTGTCGGGTATGTGGGCCACCAAACACTCCACTTAAAGGCCACTGTCCAAAGCCGGAAGTGACCAGGCCCCAAAAGGAGGCCCAGGATGAGAATCCAGGGGTGATGTGAGAGAAGGCTTCTTGGTTGGCGGGGGAGAACCTGGAGGAGGGGCCCAGGGGACACCCCGGCAGGAAGGGGCACTGTGGGGCGCTCACCTCCGACCAGGGGCTGGTGTACCACTTGAAGCAGGGCCTCTCGAAGCAGGTGCTCTCCGCCGGCGGCTTCTTGGCCAGGCCACACTCAGGGCCGCTGCGTGTCTGCGGCTTCCCGTCGGCCAGCTCCATGCACAGCACCAGCCGCTTCTTCACGCCGCGCCCGCACGTGGTGTTGCACTGTGGGCGCCCACAGTGCAGGTCAGCAGCCTGGCCAGAGGGCCGGGACACACGCCACCGGGACACACACCACCAGGACGCACGCCAGGACTCTGGTGGCCACGGTGTAGCTGCTAGCCCGTGGTGCAGGTGCTTAGATCCTTAGGCATTTTGGCTGAGAACTCTTTGCTCAATAACCATTTGCCCCGAATGGATTTAATCAAATGCAATTGGGCCCCAAACCATCTGTTTTGAAACAAATGTGCTAATGACAGTTTGGCCAGAATCGATTCAGCAGAACAGTGTGGCCTGGATGACTTGATGAGCAGTGATCTGCCTAAGATGGTTGGTTGGAGGCCGTCAGAGAGGAACGCACGGGAGATGCCCCTGGGGGATGGGAGACAGGCTGGTAGGGAGGACTGATCCGTTGTGATAACAGAGGTCACAGGGTCCCCATGGCCAGCAGCTGATGCAGCCAACCGGCCCTCTCTGGTCTCATCCATGGGGAGCTGAGGCTCAGAGTGAGGACGTGCGGACCCGGGACCTCACCAAGCACATGCTTGTTTGGTTTGGGAGACCCAGGCTTCCTCTTGCCTTTTTGGCTTTTTGTATTTAACTTTTAGGATTTGCACCTTTGTAATTTGCAGTTACTCCCATGTTCTGACCCATCCTCCCGTGGGCAACGGACTCTCAAGCTAGACTCTGTGCACCTCCAGGGACTCACCCGTTCCCAGTCCTGGGCCAGCCAGTGCGCCGGGCAGTTCCGGTCCCCGCAGGGGTGGATGGCCAGGGGCTTGGTCTCCGCCTGGCACTGAGACTCAGGCACCACCCGCCCGTCGCTGGTCTTGCAGTACACGTGCCTGATGGTGCGGCCTTGCCCACAGCTCCCGCTGCACTGCAGGAGGGGCCGGCAGGGGCTTGAGCGCGGCCCCCCTCTGTGAGCCCCCCACCCACTTCTTCCCTTGGGGAGAGCAGCGGCTCCCAGGGCAGCCTGGGGAAGCAGTTGCTGTGGCAACCACTTTTTAAATAACGTTTTCTGCTCTAATTACAGAAATAACACTCTCGATGCTGAACACACAGGGAAAAGCGCAGCTCACCGGGCACGCGTGCACCCTCCCACCGCCTCCGCCAGGGGCTCCTCAGCCAGCACCCGGGAGAGGCAGGGATGGAGAGACGAGCAGCCACAGGCAGGGGAGGCAGAGTGCTGAGAGAAGGAAATCAGGACACGGAGATCCACAGCGACAGGGAGAGGAAACAGAGACAGATGAGGATGGAGAGATACAGAGACAGGAGAGACGGTGGAGATGGAGGGAAGAGAGGTGGACAGGGGGCAGCAGGGAGAGACCTGGGGCTGCGGGGGAGCAGAGGAGCTGGCAGACAGAGACCAACATGAGGAGCGCTGACAGGTTGTGCAGGGGGGACCCCGCCCCTTGTCCTTGGGTCATAATTCGGTTCTTACACAGTGAGCGAAGGACCAGTATCCACTACCCCCTCCAGAAAAGTGGGAAAACTGAGGCAGGGCCCTCGGGTGCCCCGCTGCCCGTGCCCTCACCGGTCCCCAGTCCGAGACGGTCCACTGGCGGTCGCAGGGGGGCCCGGTGCAGTTCTTCTCCCCCACGGGCCGGGTCCTGGGGTCGCACAGCTCCTCGTCCTCGGAGCAGCGGATGTCCCTGGTCACCACACTGCGCTCGCCGCACTTGGCTGGGCACTGGAGGCAGCGGGCAGTGGGCACACACGCAGGCCCCAGGGGCCGCCCGCCCGCCGCTCCCCGCCGGCTGCTCACCTCACCTCGGACCACTCGGACATCTCCCACTGCGGCCCGCAGGCGGGGTTGCGGCACGTCTTGCGCTCCTCGGGCCGCACGGCCTCAGCGGCCTCACACAGGTCGCTGTACACAGAGCTGTCGAAGCCGGGGGACAGCATCTTCCAGCAGCGCACGATGCGGGACTGGTAGCCCTCTCCACACGTGCGCGAGCACTCGCTCCAGCTGCTGGTCTCCCACCTGCGTGGGGCAGGGCGGCGGCCCTCAGTGCCCACCTCACAGGGCAGCCCTGCCCCACACCCCAGACACCCCCCACCCCCAGTGGCACAGGCCAGACAGGAAGGAGTAGGGCTCAGAGTCATCAGGAGCCCCCAAAGGGTGTTGGGGACCCACCGGGCCTGAGCCACCTCTGCCGGCCTTCCCTGCAGACCCCTGGGCCGTTCCCACTCCCTGGGGACCAGTGGACACCCCTAGTGTCCAGAGCCCCTGCTGGGAGCCAGGGTGGTGTGACCAGGAGGCCCCGGTTGAATCTTTCACCCTGAGCTGGGCCGTGAGTACCAAGGAAAACCTGGGGTGCCCTGGGGAGACAGAGCCTGTGGGCTCTGGGGATCACTGGGGTCTTCTGCCCTTCCAGGAAAGAAGCAAATGTGCAGGGTGCGGAGGCAGGAAGGACAGAGGGAAGGTGGCCTGGCAGGCAGGGGATGGCACATGTGTGGCCGCTGGGGTAGAGCCAGGCCAGCATCTTGGGGTCCCAGCCTGATGGTCCCCAGGGGTGCTCGGACCTAGATCTGTGATGGTGTCCACAATAGCAGACAGGAGGTAAGAAAGATGGGCCCCACCCACACTGGAAGGACACTGGAAGGACACGGAAGGACAGCCAGGCAGGGTCTAGTTTAGGAACAGTCCTTTTCTGATCCTGCAGACACCAGTGCAGAGGTCAGCTGGTCTTCAGGGCAGAGCCTCAGCACATGCACCCCAACTCCCTTCCAGAGTGGACACAGCACACACACACACACACACACACACACACACACACACCCCGTGCGGCCCAGCACCCCGAGGGCCCCAGCAGGACCTGGGCTGGCACTCCCTCCCGGCGCAGAACTCGTGCACAGGCTCGGGCCGGGTTAGGGCGTCGCAGTAGCTGTCATCTACCTCGACTCCGTCGTAGCGGACGCACATGGCATAGGTTGACAGTACCCCTGGTTAAGGGTGAGGGAAAGTCTGTGAGGTGGTGGGCAGACAGGCCTGGCACACAGTGTCTGCCCCTGGGGGCCAGACCTCTTCTCTTCTGCCCAGCCCAGCCTGGCCCACAGACGTGGCGGAGAGGGCAGACACGGCCGATGTCAGTGCCATTCATTCATTCAGCAGCCTCCCAGCTGGGGCGGCGGGCCAAGTGCACTCTTGCCACAGGTCCCTTGGGGTGCTGGTCATCGTTCCTCTGGGTGGCGATCTTTCTGGGCTCCCCAGGACTGGACACCCCAGTTTCACCCAAGTGTCAAGTCCCTCATCTTCCTCCCCAACCTGGCGTGAGCCAGCACAGGTTCAGCTCCCTACAGGGCAGGCAGTCCTTGCCCAGGAGCCAGGGCCAGTCAGGCACGGTCTGTACAGAAAAGCCCTGGGGTGCCCTGGGTCTGCTGTCGGTGGTCAGGGTGTGAGCGAGAGAGACCCAGCCCCCTGCGGTTTCTGGGGACCCATGTGGGGTAGACCAGGCTGTTGTCACTGCTCTCCCGCAGCGCTGGGCTATACAGTTCTTGGCCTGCTCACAGGCAGGCAGCCCTGGGCAAGTCTCCTTGGACCGTCCAGGCCTCAGAGACACCAGGCCTGGCTGGGAAATGCATGGGGTTAGAGACCCAAAGACCCTCCTCAGTGCCAGGTTATTTGTTGGTTCCTCCTCGTCTGTTTGGGTGGAGACGAATAGGCTGGGGCCCCAGAGACTGAAGCCTACCTGGGGCCCCCTGATGGTGAGCAGACTCCTTCAGCCTCAGCGAGCTAACCCCAGATCAGGAGCATCCCATGGAGGATGTGACAACCCCAGTGGGCATTCCTTGGACACAGAACACCCGGGACAAGCGGCCCCTGAGGCAGGTCCCTGCCACCCCATTCTCCCACATCACACTGCAGTGCCCAGGAGGGGGTCAAGAACATTCTGGAAAGCCGTGTCTGTGGCCCCAAACTCATCTCCCTGAATTGCTGCTCCAAAAGGGCATCTCAGGAAAAAACAGGATCCCCAACATGGCTGACACAGGACACGGGATGGGTCCACCCACTGACTATGTCCTCCATGTGGGACCTCGGCCCCCGGCAGGGTGGGGACCGCGGTGGGTGGTGACCCTTGCCTGGACATCGGCAGGCATACCATGCCATGCAAGGTCCCAAGCACCACAATAGCCAGCCCAGCCTCCATGCCCCTGCATGAGACACTCAGCCTTATCGCAGCCTGAGCGTCAAGTACGAGGTGCCAGAGCGAAAGTGCCAGAGCGGCTCGCAGAGGGACAGGGAGCCTGCTCTCAGCCACTCTCGGCAGCCTCATCTGGAGCAGGCGTGCCCTCTGTCCAGACCCAGACCCTTCCCAGTCACTCCCTGGCGATGTGCCCTGTTCTCCCTGGGGCGTTGCCCACACAAGGCTGTCCCTCAGCCCCCTGGGCACGGAGGCCACCTCTGACTCCAGGTAGCATCAGCTCCTCAGCCAGCGGTGTGTCGGGTGCTTTGTTTCCACAGTCCTGGCACACACAAGTGCCCAGGCCAGGCCAGGCAGCAGAGTGCACGCCCTGTGCCCCCCACTGGTCTCACTCCCCCTGGGCGAGCCCCACAGAAGGAGGGTCGCTTGCACACATCTGAGGCCCAGGCCCCAGGCCCTCTCCAGAACAGTGACAGTGCCCACCTGCTGAGCGAAGGCACGTCGGGGAGCTTCTCACTTCTCACGGACCCCCACTGCCCCTTCGAGATAAGGATGCACCCGGTCCACAGGGAGGGCAGGGAAGCCGTGTGCCCGGGGCCTGGGGCCCGGGGCCGCAGCATGCAGAGCCTTCAGCTCCTGCCACACACCCTTCCCTGAGGGTCCTGGGCATGAGGCCACTTCAGTGAGGCCTCTGCACAAGGGCTGGTCGTGGGAGCAGAACCTGATGCATGGCCCTTGCTTCCTGGGGCCCAGCCCCCGAGATGCCAACCAGAGGTGCAGGGCACAGCCAGGTCCAGCTGGCTCAGTGTTCTCACTGGCTGGAGTGCAGGGTGTTCAAAGCCCTGCCCACTGGGGGATCCTGGTCAGGAGGGGACGTCATGAACCTCAGTGGGGCAGCCTGGCGCCATCCAAGCCTGGACATGAAGTCCCAAGTGTAGATGCAGTGTGATTTCGGCACTGGCCCTTGGAGTCTCCTCTGCCAGTGCCCCTGTGCCAGTCCTGGGTCTGACCTCTGACCTTATGGCCTCCCCAGGGAGGAAACCAGAGCAGACAGCAGAGACCACTGAGCTCCCAGAGGCCATGGTTAGCATTCTGGGGATGGCACACGGCCAGAGACCAGGGTCCAAGGCTGTCTCAATGCCTAGATGTGTCTGCAAGTCTGTCCAGCGCCCCCAACCCAGAAGTCTCTGCTCCCCTCCTCACTCCTCTCCAGATGGGATGTCCTTGGGTGTGGATTCGGGGTCCACCTCTTCTCTCCCGGGTCTGACACCAACAGAAGCAAAATCCTTGGCCCCCTGAGGCTCCTCACTTCTCCCCGAGACCCCAACACTGGACGATAGCAACAACAGCAGACCAGGGAGCCTACAAGTGGCTGGGGTGACCCCAGAGCCACGCCCGATATGGCCCAGCTGCCGAGGGATTGACACCCAACTCTTACTATGGCAGATGATCTCGCAAGTCTCACACCACCAGGCCAGCTCCCCTAGGAGGCTCATGGCCAAGCCCCGGGCACCATGGAGGCCGGCTCAGAGTGGGCATCCACAGCATCCGTTGACCCCCCTGACACCCAGTGACACCCGTGCCAGTACCTGTGGTGCAGGTGGCGCTGCAGGGCTCGTGGGATGACAGCTTCCACCGGTACATGTCGGCTGGGCTCACACCTGGCTTGCGCGCCTTGGGCCGGGTCCTGGGTGAAGTGAGGAGAGGAGAAGAGAGGAGGGGAGGGAAGGGGAGGGGAGGGGATGGGAGGGGATGGGAGAGGAGAGGAGAGGAGAGAGGGCAGTGAGGAGCTAGCCTCACAGCTCAGCCAGCAGATCTGGGACAGCACCGCGGAGACCAGGGCCCTTAGGGACAGAATGGGATAGACTCCAGGGACACAGACAGACACTGGTGACCTTCCCATCCCTCCGGGCGCCCAGCAAGACCTGGGCTCCCCATGCCCACTCTACTCACACATGCAGACTTCTTGCCATGCTGCCCGCACCGGCTGGTGGACACCTCCCTCACACCCAGAAGGGATCTCAGAAGGCTCGAAGGTCTGAGAATGTCCTGGAATTCCCTCCTGCTCCCCACCTCCCCCAGGACTCCCACTGAGTGGGGACCCTGGCCACTGCCTCTGGTGATCAGAATTCAAACCCCAGCTGCAGATGCAGCAGCCACGCCCCGCAACACGGCCCGGGTTGAGATGGGCCGCACAGACTGCTGGCCTGGGAAGAGCCTGCTGGGGCCCAGCCAGCCACCGGCTGATTCCTGGCCGGGCCCGGGACAGCCAAGGCCAACTATTGTTAGGCCTCTGGCTCCTTTGAACCAGGCGGTGAGCCCAGGCCTCCCCGTCCCCCACACAGCCTCTCTTTGGATCCTACAGGGGACAGAGGGAGCAGCCTGGGGCATCTGCCCGAGACACAGTGGCCAGTGCTGGACCCCAGGGAGTCCTACAGTCTGGAGCCAGGGAAGGAATGGGGAGCTAGTCCTACTGACCACCACTCCTAGGCCCAGCTGGCTAAAGAGGATGGTTCTTGGGCCCCTTCTCAGCCAAATATGGGGACCGCAGGGCTCAGACTATTCTGGGGCCTCGCCTCTGCCATCCGCGACTCTGTGATGGGGTCGTTGGCTTGGGTGAACTGAAACTGTTTGTGAGTCACCTGGGTGGAACGGCGCTGGGTTTTGCTCGGATTGGGGCTTATGCTTCCCAGGGGGACCCAAGCCTGGGTAGAGCGCGTGGGATGCAAGTTGCCCTGATAGCGAGTCACGCTCTGACAGCCCAGGAAATGAGCTCCCAGCAGGAGTGCGGGGAACCAGCCCACCAGTGTGGCTCGCTGGTGCCATCGCCGAGACGAGTGCCGGGAGGAGCGGGGAGCCGGCCCGGTCCGGCCCTCAGTTCAGGGCGGGGGAAGCTCTTCCCCCCCCTCCTCTTTACAAGGAAGGGCAGCTGTAAACATGGGAGAGGGGCCACCCTCCAGAGGTCCCAGAAGCAGGGCTCTGTGGGGAGCCGGCGAGCTTCTGTGGGGGACCCGTTCCTGCCGCGCCCCAATCTGGGCGGGCAGATCCACTTAGGGGGAAAGAAGGCAGAGAACAGCCCTCACACTCCATTCAGAAAACGGCCGTGCGCAGGGCCCCACCCTGCTTTCAACAGTTTAGGTTCTCCCCAGGAAAGAGAGATGAGAAGCCGCGCCCCCACCACGGCGAAGAACCACCCTCTCCATCCACTTCCCACTTCCCAGCCAGCGGGCGGCGTGACTCACCCTCCACTCCAGGGAGAGCTGCTGGGCTCAAAATAACCCCTAGGATTTGGAGCCCCGGGGTATTTCTGCCCACACACCCCTCTGCGGCACGTGGGGTGTGGACACGCGTGTGAGGCGCGGGGCAAAGCCCTGGGCGTATTTGGATAACACTGCGGCGCTGTCTGCTTCCGGTCTTGGAAGGAACATCAAGAAGAACCCCCTGGAAATCACCGGCCGCCCACCTCCGTGGTGGGGGGCTGCTGCGGCCTGCTGTGCTGTGACCGACTCGCCACTGCTGGTCACAGCCTCTGGGTCCTTGCCCGGCTGCCTGGTGGAACACAGGCTCCTCTACCCCCAGCAGCAGAAGCTCTGAAATGACTGTGTTTGTTTATAAACGAACCAGAGAGGTCTGTCTTCCTCTCGCCCCCACAGCTTCAGGGAGGCGTGTGTGTGTGTGTGTGTGTGTGTGTGTGTGTGTGTGTGTGTTCGCGCGCACGTGTGCGTGTGTGCGTCTCAGATGCCTGGTCCCAAAGTCACATCTGCTGACGCCTCCCCCTTGATTGTCTGAAGCGTTTTTGAGAAGATGAAAATAGCCCTTCCTTTCTGGGCCGCCCCTTTGATTTCGCCCGCTCCCCATGCAGACACCACTTCCTGTGTTTGGACAAACCCGAGACATGGCTATTTTGGCCTGGTAGTTTCCCGGCGGCCTCCTCAGCCCTTTATCTCCCCAGACCATTTCTGGTCCCCTCTGGCAGCACCTTTTGATGGCGCCTGGCTGGCCAGGGCGAGCAGCCGCAGCTCACCGAGTTGAGCCTCTCTTTCTGAGTGCTGACAGCGGCTTCAGTGACAGGCACGGGACCCAATATGGCGCCTCCACAGGGTCAGGAGGGTGCCAAGGAAACTGAGGCCCAGAGGAGGGCCGGGTGTGCTGTTTCTCCGCTGCACTGTAAGCCAGACTAAGAAGTGCCCTGCTGCCAGTCGATCCCGTGTCCACCTGGGCTGTAGGCGCTGGGAGCCGCTCCCCACCCAGGAGGCGTGGCTTTACTGCAGCTTCTACATGTCAAGCTTTTCTTGTATGCCCTTGCACATGCCTCTCATACTCAGACCTGGCACCCCAATGGGTCCCCCAAAGCAGGCTGAGGCCCCGCCCCCAGAAACCTTGAGGGTACAAGGTCAAGGGAGCAGCCAGTACCGTGCCTCTTATGGGAAGCGGAGCAGACCCAGAGGCCTCCCCACCTGCATAGAGGAGGCCACATGAGCCATTTGCAGTGCCCTGAGGTGCCCGCTGGCCCTATGCCCTGGTCTCTCTGGCTCACAGGCAGGCCACCTTGTCACCCTAGGCCCCTGGGGATAAGGGAGAAGGTGGCCCAAACCCATCACCTCAAAGGCAGCCCCCAAGTCTCCCCCCAAAGCCAATCCCAAGGACCCCAGCCTCAGTATCTCCAGCCCTGCCAGAGTTCAGCTCTTGCCCAGTCTGAAGTCCAGGGACTCGAGTGGCCAGGCTTCTAGGACACAAAACAAAAGCCAGCAGCCCATGCATGCCAATCCTGCCTAGGCCATGTTCACACCAGCTGCACCGCCCCCAGGGCTTTCTGAAGAAGGGCAGTGGCCTGGAGGGGTGGCCACCCTCATCCCAGAGGCCCAGTCACCAGGGCCTGTCCTCCACACTGGATAGCAGCTCCAAGGCCGCTCTGCACCCAGCCCACACCAACCGGGAAGGCGCAGCACCTCAGGCCCCTCCAGGGCTAGTCACAACTGTCCAGCTGTCCCCAGCCTTGACCATCCAGATACCCCCAGCCCTGACTACCCATGTATCTCCAGACCTGACCGCCAGATGTCCCCAGCCCTCACTGTCCAGTGGTGAGAACCCCAGTGGTTCTCACAGCCTGTTCCAGCTGTAGCTCTAGCCTGGTCCCAACCGCTGCTCCAGGGCACCCTGAGTCGGGACTTCCAGTGTTCTCAGCCTGGGACGTGGGGTGTTTGTGCCCCTCTTGCCCCGCAGTCCCGTGCTGCGGTCCCAGGGACTCTGGGGTGGCTGTCCCTCAGAGCCTCAGGAGCAGGACACCATGGTGGCTGTGACCACTCAGGTTCCCTGTCCCTGTTCCTGAGACCAGCTCAGGGTTGTCAGCTCCATACTTGGCTTCAGCAACAGGGATCCAAGTCGGGGACACCCGGGAGATCATAGCAGGGACACCTGGCCTCCGGCCCAGGCTCTGACCCTAGGCTTAGACCTACAGGGTGCCAGGAGAGTGACCCTGTCCCATCACCCAGGGGTCCTCCTGTCCATGTCCCTGTGGGGTGACCTTGCCTGGGCCCCCGTGGAGAAGCACCCCTACCTGGCCTTGTGGGTCCTGTTCCCGGCCGATGCAGGGAGGCTGGCACTGGCGTTGGGGAACGGGGCCTCAGAGGAGGTATTGGTGACCCTGTCGCTGCTCAGCTCCAGGTAGGACCCGTTGACCAGGTAAGCAGCGGCCCCCTCGCCCTCCTCGTAGTCCACGTAGAGGCTTTCAGCCTCGGGACTCCTGGGGGCACCCTGTGCGAAGATGCTGTTCCCTGTCTCATTCAGGCTGAACTCTTTGGAGTCAGAGCTTGCGCCCAGGAGCTGGTCAGAGATAGCATTAGCGGAGAGGAACTCCTGGGAGGAGAGCCGGGCGTCCACCTCTGGGTCATCCTTGTCCCCTGTGAGCACTGTCCCAGTGGCGTTGCGGTCTGCGGAGAGACAAGCGGTTGGACCTCAAGTGGCCTGCTGTGCGGAAATGCTGGCCACCTGCTACCTTTAAGAGCCCAGAATGACAAGTCCCTCCCCAGGACGAGGAAAGTGGGATGCTCCAGGAAGGTCCTTTCTGCTCAGCAAGACATGATTTGGAGCCAGCCAGGCGAGGTGGCACAGGCCTGTCATCCCAGCACTCTGGGAGGCTGAAGTAGGAGGATCACAAATTGGAACCCAGCTTGGGCAGCTCATTGGCTTAGCTGGACCCTGTCTCAAAATAAAAAATACAAAAGGGCTGGGGATGGAGCTCAGTGTGAAGGCCCTGGGTTCCATCCCCAGTTCTGAAGGCAAAAATAAAAAAGATCCAATTTAGCCAAGGACAGAGGACATGAGCAAGTCTGTACCAAAGACACAGCAGGCACCTGGGCCTCTGGGAATTTGCGTGTCAGACAGGCCCTTCGGCCAGGTCTCCTGCGGACACCGAAGGACCACTGTGTACCTCGTAGAGCTTGCACTGGGCCTGCCCAGAGTGTGCAAGTGACTGTCGCCTCGCTTGATCTCCTCTTGGCCTGGGAAGGGGCTGAGGTCCCCTCCCCCAGGCCTCTGTCCCCTGAGCCCCGGCCCTGCCCACCACCCAAGGGGGCTCCTGTTACCTCGGAAGCCTTTGCCCCTGGAGGGCCCCTGGCAGGCCCCGCCGCCGGCAGGCTCGCACACCTCGTTGGTCTCCTGGCCCGGACGAGGGCCCAGGTCCACCTCAGGGCCCCGGGGGCTGAAAAACCGGTTGTCCAGGCCCAGCTGCTCAGAGGAGGCCGGGCCGTAGAGCGAGGCATTGCGCTGCAGGAAGCCCAGGAGCCCAGCGCTGGCCAGCTCCTGGCTCTCTGCGCTGGCGGAGACGGAGGCTGAGGCAGGCTCTGAGAAGCTGTAGTAGACCGGCGGGCGGCCGTGCTCAGGCGGGGTCTGCAGCAGGGTGTACTCGAAGGTGATGGAGGGGCTCTTGCCATTCTGGTTCCACACCTGGGGAGGAGCAGTTGTGAGACCCCCGCCTCCCTCCAGCCCTGCGTGTACCCTGAGGACCCAAGGGCACTGCCCCCCTCAAGGCCACAGGGCCCAGCATACAGACACCCCAGAGGAGGACCAGAGAGTACAGGCGCTAAAGAGCCACAGAGAGCATCCTAGGATGGAAGCCACGTGAAATCCACCCTGCATGCTACCATCATGGTGCACCAGAAATCCTATGCGAGGGTATCGGGGCTCCACCCCCTCCCCACAGAGATGAGAACCTGCCTCCACTCCGGAGAACCTTGAGGGGGGCATAGCTTGGCTGCAGAGCTCCCCATGGAGGAGCCCAGCCTGTGTAGGCACCATAGGGCAGCCCTACCTCTCTGCCCAGGGTCCCTCTACCCCTGCCCAGTCTCCACCCTGAAGCAGGAGTGGTCCTGGAAGCTGGATCTGAAACAGATTCTGGAACAGGATCGACCAGCACCCCTGCGGGGGAGCACAAGGGTCTGCAGGGCAGTGGGCAGAGCTCAGAGGCCCTGGAAGGCAGTAGTGAACCAGATAGGTGGGACACTGTGGGGGATGCACAAGGTGACATCTCACGGCTTTGGTTTTGGCTGGGGGCAGGGTGGGCCAAGAAGGTACAAGGAATCCTAGAACCTGCGGTGCTGGAGATGGGGAGAGGGGAACTGCAGCGTGGGGCCAGAGTAGGGGCCCAAGACAGTTCAGTGCTACAGCTTGAGGGCAGAAGGGGCAGAGGAGGCCCAAGGCAAAGGGCAGACCGGAACATGGGAACCTGGGACGCAGACACAGGGACCTGAGTCAGGAGGCTCAGAATGTGTGAAATCTGACGCCCTGGACCTTCTGGACCTGGAGAGGCCCGGGTCTCCCTAAAAAGCTGGCGCAGAGACCTCCTCCACCCCGCCGTGAGCCCATGGGCTGAGCTCACCTCCTAAGACTCCTGACCTCCAGAACAGCAGCTCGGCTCGAGTCCCATCCTTCCCTCACCCGGAAAGACCCAAGAAGGAAGAGTGCGCCCTCGACCCGCGGGCAGCCACAGGGGCAGCTGGGGACATCTAGGCTGACCGAGACCCGGCTCTGGGGAGCCCGGAGCCATGTAGTGGACATTAAGAGAGGGACAAGCCCTGTGCCTTCCGTGGCAGGGGAAGGGAGGATGGTCTACAGGCCGGACAAACCGCCAGGGGACTCTGCTCCGGGGGAAGCCCAGAGGACATTCCACTCGCCAGCAAGAAAAGAAATGCCATGGTGAGATGATGCCAGCTTCACTCGGGACAGCGCTGAGCATCCGTCCTCACACACCAGGCTGGTGGCAGGAGAGGCAACTACAGACCAGAGCCTCCAGCAGCCCAGGAGGTGACAGGCACCTGAGATAGTAAAGCAAGGCAGACGCACGTGTCTCAGTAAGCAGTAGCAGGCATGGCCACCTGTCCACGGAAGACTTGGGATGTGGACAACAGGATAATGGGCAAAGCACCCGATGGGATGGATGGATGAACCGGAAAAGGTGCTGCTCAACCAATGTGAATGGAAGAGCTCAAGATGGAGGATCAGGAGGCCGGGACAGGCGTCCCAGGCAAGGCTACTGTACTTCCATGTGTCCTGAGCCGGGTCTCAGACCCAGGAGCCACAGACCCAGCATCTTGGGCAGGAGCCATGGGTAACAGTGCTGAGTCCCCAGCTCCTCTCCAGAGGGTGGCAGCGGTTAAACTGGTTAACTGTTCCCTGGAGAAATGTGTGGACGCCCCAGAACCAGGGTCCAAGTCCTCACTGGTAACCAAGGCCCCAGGCACCATGACTGTAGCCCGGTGCTCTCGCAGTGTGTCCCTAGCCCACAGGTTCCCTGTCTCCAGAGGCACAACTGGTGTTGGCAGAACCCTCGAGCCAGCCCTGGAGCTGTCACTGTGACAGGGTGTGTGATGCCTCTGCCCTGGCTCCATGTAAGAGCAAATCCAAGATGACAGCGTGTCCTGGGGAGATGGCAGACATTAGTACCACATATCGTGTCCTGGAGGGTCAGGGTGAGGGTCTCAACCCCAGTGGATCTGCCCCTAAGCGTGGTTGTGTACTGCATGGCCCGACCAGGTCCCAGTCCCTGAGGCTCTGGGCCAGGTCGGTCCCCTTTCTGGAGCCCACTCACATGGTCGTGGGCTGGGCATTTGTGGCCACTAAGCTGGCAGTAGACTCTTTTCTGTCCCCAGCTGAGGAGGCCCAGAGTAGTACCCATTCACACAGGGTGGGGGCTGGGGGTAGAGCTCAGTGGCACGGTGCCTGCCTGGCCCGTACAAGGTCCTGAGTTCAGTTTCCAGTACCAAAAACAAGAGTGTATCCAACACGCAGGGTGGACAGAGCACACATGCACAGCAGTGACCCAGGGCTACCTGAGCATCCTGCTCTTGGTCATAACAAATTATACGGGAGACTGTCCCCCTCCACAGGACACTGTGCCTGGTCCTCTGCATCGATGACATTGTGTCTATCAGATCAGGAGAGGCACTGGAAGACTTTACGTGCTCCAGATGGCCAGAGACTCAACTCTATAAAGACTCAGTGTCCCCCACCCTATTGGTGACGATCTCAGGGTTCAGTTTGCCAGGGCACCCTCTGACTGTGTTTGACCACGACGCCAGGCAGTCCACCACAGGAAGGATGAGCAGGCCAGAGGCCCGAGAAAGCTGCACCAGCAGGTGACACGACTGTCACCACTCTTGCACCAGCACACCCAGATCATGGCTGGGAATGCTCAGGGGGACCCCAGTGACCAGGTGAGGGTGGAGACAATGGCCGAACCAAACTCCACGATGGGTCAGCTTGGTAGGAGGGCGCAAGCCAAAGGGGACTCTACCTGGTGATGCCCCCCGAGGCAAGGAAGGAAGGAAATGCCCCCAGCACCATCATCCTCTATACAGGTGGCATCTTGGCCCAAATAAGACGCTGGCTCCCAGGGCCAGGCAAGGGGCAGGGCTGTGGGTCAGGAGCCCAGAGGGAACAAACGGAAGACTGAGGCTGAGAGCCACCAAACAGCCACGGGACAGGGAGAAGGGCTTGGCCTGCTAACACAGGCCTGCCCCCGGCTTCGATCACCTGCTGATGGCCCGGCACAAGGGCCCGCTGGCGAGGCCCCTGCTCACGAAGACTGCTCCAGCCCCTTCCAGGGTTGGGACCTCAGCTGGCTGAATCAGACAAGCCCTACTAGGCACTGTCCTGCATGGACCCGGCCTCTCTGTACCAAAGGAGGAGCCCATGGACGTGGCCCCAGCCCATTCTTCAGCGGACTGCTTGAAGGGGACTAGCGGCAGCCCACAGCTGAGCCCCACACCCTGGGCATTTCCCGAGGGGGTGGGGCGCTCTGTGCCAGGTGAACCCCTCCCTGGATCAGCTGCACCCCAACCCCACGCCCAGACTGAGTTAGTGTGGACAGCAGGAAGGCTAAGGCCTACACCTCCCTCTGCCGAGCCCCTCTCTCTCTCCCGGGGCTGCTCCGGAGACCCCGTCCCCAAGCCCTCCAGCACTGCACTTTCACTCCAGAGTCTGGCCTGTGGGCTCCTCCCACCAGGGGCCAGCTGCCTCTGTGGCAACTGCAGCAAAACTCAAATGCACTCAGACAGAGACGCCTCAACTCCTACAGGAGCCAGCTCCAGAACCACCTGTCTGGGGGCAGCCAATTCCTGGGCAAGTCCTGCATGTGTGCTCAGGGCCAGGCCCCAGACTGCGGCAGTGTGGGTTCTCTTCGCCAGTCATGGCAACACCCAGGCAAGCTGGGCAGGATGGGCCCAGATTCTCCTGCTGCCCCTCCCCAGCCCAGAGCCTGTCTGGGACCCTGAGCACCCTGGGGAGGCAGGCCAGGGGCCGCAGGCTCTACCTTGGTCCCCACAGTATCAACCAGGCAAGCCGGGACTGGGGGCATCAGCGCCAACTGTGGACTGAGAACAAACAAATGAGCCAGTGGATGAACAAATGAATGAATGAACGAACAAATGATGAATGAATGAACAAATGAATGAATGAATGAACAATGAATGACTGAATGAACGAATGAATGAATGAACAAATGATGGATGAACAAATGATGAATGAGCAAATGAATGACTCCATGAACAAATGAGTAAATTAATGAACAAATGAATGACTGTATGCGTGAACAAATAAATGAATGAATGACTATGCAAAGAATGGGCAAATGAATGAACAAGTGACTGAATGAACAAGTGACTAAATGAACAACAAAATGAAAAACAAATGAATGAACAAATGAATGAATGGCTGAACAAACGAGTGACTGAACGACCAAATGAACAAACCAAAGAATGAATGAGTGAACAAGGAAGGAATGTAAATGAATGGGTGAGTGTGGGGTGGACGGGTGAGCAAGAAAAAACGAGAATGAATTAATGAGCTTGTGGGAGACAGAGGATGAACTAAGATCCAAGTGGACACCAGACAAGGGCCTGAATCAAGATGACAGGGGCATAGTCACTGAGTGACTGAAGGAGGGGTGCCCGGAGCACGCAGGTGTGGCAACCCCTGGGCACACGTGGCAAGGCTGCCAAGGTCTCAGCCCGCAAGTCCTGCCCCTGGCTATGTCCTGGGGAGCAGGGCCCACAGCGCCCCTATCCTCACACGCACGCACGCACCATGACATTCAGGCCCTGGTTGGTGGGCCCCTGCGCCACAATGTACTCGATGCCTGTCTCGTAGACGTCCATGGGCCGCCGGTACTTCACCACGGTACCGGCGATGTTGAAGTTCTTGGGGCTGTCCACCTTGTAGTTGCCGTTGAAGAAGTAGAAGCCGGCTTCATCTGCCAAAGCTGGGAAGGCAACGCTGCAGGTCAGTCCAGGAGGAGGGGCCTGAGGGGCAGAGGAGTTGACACCTCTCTCTCTTGGGGAGCCTGCCCTGGCCTTCCAAGACAGGCCCTCACAGCTGTAGGGACGGAAACATAGCCTCTGCCCAGGCCAGCGAGAGCCAAAGAGACAAACCCCTTCCTGTCAGCCCACAGCAACCCCGACACTCCCATGTGGACCTGCTTAGCTGCTCTGAGCTAAGGGGCTGTGGGGCACAAGCTGGTGCCGCGGGCCGGTGGCCAGTGTGGACAAGAAGGGCAGCAGCCTGTGGAAGGCATGCATCTGCCGGCAGACATGCACAGGCCCAGGAAGAACTTCCGTGCCTCATCAAAGGCCCACAGCAAGTGACACTGCAGCCCTGGTCTGGCTGGTGTGGGGTGCTATCCACCAGGCCACTCCTGGGATCCCCCAGCTGAGCAGCTCCACCCTCCCGATGAGAGCAATGACCTCTGCTGTCACAACCGTGCTGTCACTCTGTCCTCCCAGGGGCTGAGGGCTGGCAGGGTTAAATTAGGCAGGTGGGGTCCTGGGTACCCCTCTCCCAGAGATGGCTGTTGGGGGGACACTCCCAGGCCCTGTCTGGAGCCACAGGAATGTGTGTGTGGCCCCCACCAGCCTGTTCCCTGTGCCTGGAGTCTGGAACAGCTGCCCAGAGCCAGTTCTCCCGGGGCAGAGGTGCTTGGGGCCTCAGGGCTGGGAGGGGCCGGGGGAGGCAGACTCGGCACTCAGGGACACTCTGTCTTCCAAAGGGTGTCCTTAAAGCCAGTTCCAGGAACTGGCCGCTGAAGGACGGTTCAGCTTCCAAAGTCCCTGATGCAATACAGAGGAGCCGGGGCAATTAATTTATTATCAGACAGACGCAACATGCAGGACGCGTCTGCCTGGAAAATACCCTGCACACAGCAACGTCAGAGAATAACGCAAAGGCCTCGAGCTGCAGGGGCCTGCTTGTCTCGGGCCAGTGTCAGGTACGAGCCAGGGCCTAGCGGGGCCGCATCCAGGCCCTGTTTCCTGACAGTGAGGACCTTCCCGCTCGCGGCTTTCCCCGCGCTCCAAGGCAGCCTTTGGCATTTCCACGTGTCTGTCTCAAGGAGAGAGCTCTGTAGCCAGCCTAGAGAACGCAGCATTTCCTGGCCTCGCCACTCCCCAGAGAGCAAGCCGCAGAGCCACTGGCCTGGCAAGAAGCCCAGCTCCTCAGGCCCAGCCCAGGCCATCCCTGGGGTGGGAGCACCTGGGCCCGGGGGCACACAGATCCAGGGCCGGACCATGCGGACCCCAGAGGCTGCAGCAAGGCTGGTCCCCTCCTGAACCCGTGCTAGCAAGAGTTTCGTGGCAGCTGGCCTCACATAGTCGCTCTCCCGTAACGTGCGGGTTCTCGGCCTGGCCCAAGCGGGGCTGGGCAAGTGCTGAGAAGCTCTCAGGGGGCAGCACCTGCCCACTAGGCATAGGGGCCACACTTCCTGGGGCCAGGTCAGCCCTCCAGCCTCACAGACGACCCACCCTAAAATGCTCCCCAGACAGGGTGTCGCTGCCTCCTCACGGTGCAAATAAATCCGTAATCTGCAAGGTGGGCTCCCCTCCCAAGCCCAGCTTCCCGCCGAGACTGCAGGGGCAGAGCCTCCCACGCAGGGCCACCCGGGCCTGAACCGCCCTCAGCTTCTCCAGCTCGTGACTTTGGACGCCACTCGCCTCCTCTCTGCTCCACCTGACTGCTCACCTCCTGGACATGCTCCTCATGCCCCTGCAAGGGGCCCATCTTCAGCATCCCGGCTTCTGCCTAGACCAGGCCCTCTAGCAATGGGGCGCTCACTGTCCAGCCTGTCCAAGGATCTCTCACACAGGGCCAAGGCGCTTCCCACCACCCCACCACCTGGATCAGCCCCCTTCCAAAGAGGGGGCCCAGCCGGGTGCCCCTTCCACCTGGCAACGCTGACCCAGCGCCAGCTACGCACCTAGCATGTCAGCCGACTTCTTCCTCTCCACGATCTGGATGTCCCGGGCACCGGCCGGGATGTGAGTCACCAGGGAGTAACCTGCAGGCACACAGACAACCGAGAGTGGGTCCTGGCCCAGCAGAGCCCTTGTGGGGTGGCATGGCTGGCAGGGGAGTGGAGAGTGCAGAGTCACACTTCGGTGGCAGATGCCATCCTGGGCTACGCGGGAGGCAGCTGTCTAAGGGTGCATGGGGCTCCCACCCCGCCAAATGGCTGTGCTGTCCCAACACTGAGCCCTCCTTGGGCACCCAACCCATTCCCACCAAGGCCATGGGAACGCCCTGTCCTCATTGATGCCCACCCCAGCCCTTCCCGATGGGCACTGTGGCACACGGGAACCTCAAACATTAGCATCACTGACCGCAGTCCTGCCCTCTGCTATCACCGAAGGGCCCTGGACAACTGTTGGGTCCCCGGGCCTCAGTTTCCTCCTCTGTACACAAGCACAATGCCATCTACTCTTCACGTTCACCTCGTTACTTCTACGTCCATCTCCTCACAACTGGAGCCGATAGCAAAGCCCAGGAGACTGGCAGCTAGAGCTTGGCTGGCTGGAGCCTGCCCCAGGATGCCAAGAGAGAGGCAGCCATGGACGGGATCCTCTGAGCAAAACAGGGACAGAGGAGCTGGGGGCGGAGGCGTACCACCTGCAGGGGTAGGGGGCAGCTGAGGGGACAGCCTAGCTCAGCTAGGACAGAGGAACCAGCAGGAAATGCAAGGCCTCTCTCCTGGGTTCTTCTGCACATGGGCAAGCTGTCTTCACCTGCCCTCCTCCTGGACTGCACTCTCATCCAACGGTTGCCAGGGTCCTTGCCTGACCCTTGCACCTGCAGCTCTGATAAATGGTTCCCAATGGAGTCTGGAGGGGCCAAGTGTGAGAGGCTAGGATTGACACCATCAGCTATTTCTCTGGCATGAACTCTGACGCTGTGGCCAGTTGCAAATTATCACGGTGCTATCCCTGCACAGCGCCGTGATAACCTACTGTATATGGCATTCCCACCACAAACCACGACAGCCAACCAGGAGGAGGACCAGGAAGTGATCACTTTCTGTTAAATGCAATTTATTTAAGTTCAGGTTCACATGCTTCAATGTTGGAATTACCAAGGAGCCCACGAGATTCCGGGCATTTAACACTCAGAGCTCCTGGGACGCTGCAGGTCCCCTGGCGCTTGCAGTGGCACAAGTACCTGTGCGTCGGGAACATATGTGTGGCTCTGTGGCCCGGACACAGACCCCACACAGGGCTTGCGGGCCTAGCCTCAGCCCTACCCTGTGGCTGGGGGGCCTTAGGTGACTCTGCTCCTCTCTGACTGTCCTGTGGCTTTGAGCAGCAGTCTTTCTACCTGCCTTGTCACGATTCTGCCAGCCCTGGCACAGTGCCCGGCACAGAGGCACTGGCAGGATAAGCCGGGGTGGGTTCCGTGCCTGCCCCTGTCTCCTCATGGGGAGCTCGGCCAGGACATGGCCCTGAGCAGGGCCTTGCCACCGCCCACAGAGCCTGGCACCTTCCAGAAGCTGGGTGAGAGATCTGTTGCCCACGGCTGGTCCCCAGCTCTGTGCCCCAGGCCAGCAGAACGCTGTGGGAGCAGATGTGTGGCAGGAGTGGGGGCCGCAACTCCGGTTCTGCTCTACCTGCTTTGGGCCCGAGGCTGCCCGGTGAGATGCTCAGCCCCGCAGCTCTCGTGGGGCCCGGCTGCTCCTTCTACCCGACTCCCTCCCTGTCCCTCAGCCCAGCATGCCCTGCCACGGTCCCATGTCCACCCCAGCCTCCTGGTCCGTCACTAGCTCCACACCATCCCCATGTAGGGCAGGACCTCCTCCAACTCCTGGACACGCCGGAAGCCCCAACAGGATTGGCTTTAGTCCGGGATTGCCTGGCCTCAGTTTCCCCATCTGCTTAGTGGGTTTCAAGCTGCACCTCCCCAGTCTGGAGGTTGTGATGGCCCGCTTCTGCGGAGACTCAGAAATACATCCACTTGAACAGAGCATTCCAACTGAATCCTTCCAAAACTGCAATGGCCTGTCACGCACCAGACCCTGCAAGAGGGCCGGCCTGCAGCTGGACACAAACACAAGGCCAAAGTGCAACTTTGAGAAGGCACGGTAGCCAGGTGTGGTGGCTCATGCCTGTAATCCCAGCACTCAGGAAGCTGAGGCAGGAGGATCGTTGCGAGTTCGAGACCAGCCTGGGCTATAAAGTGAGCTCAAGGCCGGTCTGAACTGCACAGGGAGATCCTGTCTCAAAAAGAGCAAAAAACAAAAAGAGAGAGAGAGACAGAGGGAGAGTAATGGTGGGAACAGAGACTGTGGAAGGGGCCAGGCCCCAGAGGAGGAGACTCCGACTCAGGCCCAGCATCCTGTGTGTCCGCAGCCACATCTCCCAGTGGCTCCAAAACCAGGACTCATGCCTCAGCTTCCCCTGTTTTAAGCATGCCAGTCACACCTCCCTGTAGCTGCTTCAAAGTCAAACGTGATCCTTGCCATCGGCCTCTGGTATGCAGTGGATGTTTAGCGAAGAGCCACTGATGCTTCTGGTCAGAGGGGCGCTACAGGGACCTGTCCAGCTCCCCAGGAAGTGGGAGCGGGGGCGGCCTTACCCAGGGGCACGTTGCCCTTGCGGTAGTTTCCGGTCACGTGGGTGCAGCTGCTCCCGTCGCCCTGGCAGACACCGCACTTGTCCAGCGTGTGGGTGGAGAACAGCACCCCGTCACAGCCGATGGGCTGCAAGAAGCAGGGAGACGCTGCTGGGGGGCACGGGGCGTGGCCACCCCTGCCCGGGCGGCCAGCACGGCCAGCGCCGTGAAACCAGCTGGACTTCCGCTGCAACGTTTAACAACCTCACATTTTCCAGACACGCAAACCCCTCGCAGGTCGGTGAGCTTGCAGGATGTGCCGTCGCGGGCGGACACCATGAGCTGCCGCTGGCCGTCCACCGTGGTGCAGTGCAGGTCGCAGGGCTTGCTGGAGATGTGCACGTAGTCGTCTGGGGACGGGCGGGGGGTCAGTGTGCACAGTGGGCGCTTCCCGCCCCCGTCAGATAGGAACCTCCCTCCCCATGTGGGAAACTGAGGCCAAGGGTGAAGAAGGGACCTCAGGGTCTCAGTGGCAGGTCTCACGGGCTCAGGGCAACAACTGGGACCCACTGAGCCAACTCCCTGCCCCGGAACCCCAGGGCACTACAGCCCCAGGAAGCGGCAGAGGCCAACCCATCTCCACTGCTGTTTGGACAACTTTGCTTCCTCTCCCCAGGAGACAGAGACAGCAGAGAACAGCCATCACCGCCCCCCAGCCCCGCGGGACCACGGCCAGTCTCGGGTTGTCTGGGCTGGTTCCTGTCCAAGCCCCTGGCCAGAAGCGGGAGAGTCCTGACCTTGGAGGCCAGGCCTGCAGGAAGCTCAGCCCCAAGACCTGCCCAGGGGTGATGTCACAGGCCTGCAGACGGGGAGAGGATCCCAGGATCCTGCTCAGGAGATGTGGGGCCCACTCCTGGCTCTAGAGCTGGCCGCAGCGGCCTGTGATGAGTTCCCTGCTCCTAGCCTATTTTCTGCTTGCACACCTGTCAGGATTGGCCCTGGGGGCTGTGAGGGCCACCCCACCCCACACCTCTGCAGGGCAGGTCCCCAGGGCTACAGGTACCAGGGTATAGGGGCTTCCACTGGTAGGTCCGCCCGTCGTACACACGGGAATTGAAGGAGACACACTGCTCCTCGCGGAAGCTTCTCCCATCCGGTGGGCACTCCTGGAAGACGAGGAGGGGCTCCAGCGGGAAGTGGCCGCAGCGGGACACCCTCGGAGCCCAGGGTGGCCTCCCGTGCTCTGCCCCACCATTCCCCGGGGTGCCTACCTCTCCAACAAGGCAGGTGCCGGCCCCTCATGTTCTGTCTGCCACCCTTCCTGTCCCCTGCCCCAGCCTCCCCCCAGCTGGGAGGCAGAGGTACCGGGATGCCCGGGTGCTGCACCACTGGTGCCCCTCGCCCTCTGCTCTTGGCAGACCCTGCCCATGTGTGCATGTGTCCGGCTCAGAGCTCCTGTGCAGGGGTGGCATTGTTGATGGCTTCACAGAGGGCCTGGCTCAAGAAAGAGCCAGGGACAGAGAAGGTTGCGCCTGAGCGGTCCAGCGGCTTCAGGCGGGCTCTGTCTGCCCTGGGAGCTCAGGAGGATCCACTGAGCCCAGCAGCACTGTCCCACGAGGACAGCTGACCAGGGGACCTTAGCGCAGAGGCCATGGCCCCTTGTGCCCTTCCAGCCCCCGCCCCTGCACTGGCAGCAATGGCTTCGGCCTGTGCTGACTGATTCCTTTCCCCCATACCCCCATGTTCTGGGGACAGGCGTTGGGGTTCAGACTAACTCTGGCCCCACTGAGAGCCACCCCGGGGCTGGGCCAGCCTCAGCGCCTCCTTCCCAGCCCTGCTGACACCAGGGTGACAAAGCCTTGGAGAGCTGGGGCCCAGGGCGCAGCAGTGGACACACCGGGGAGGAGCTGGGAAGGTCCCAGGAAGTGGCCCGGGGGATCGTCCTACACACAGGGACAGAGGGGCCGGCCCAGTGTGCGAGGGCACCTGCGGGCACCACGCGCCTCGGTACCAGGGTATAGGGGCTTCCACTGGTAGGTCCGCCCGTCGTACACACGGGAATTGAAGGAGACACACTGCTCCTCGCGGAAGGAGCCTGCCCCGGCTCCGCTTGAAGAGTACCGGCTGCACTTCGGGGCCCAGGGTCTTGAGCGGACCCACGTCAGGAGGGAAAGCGGTGTCCCAGGCCCTGACCTCACCTTCAGGCTGCAGAGCTGGTAGCGCTTGGATATCCCAGTGCAGGTCCTATTGCCGGCACCCGGGACAGACTTCCTCCTGGCATGAAGATGGGTGCTGAGCAAGGTTCACAGCCTCAGGAGTGGCCTCGGGCTGGCTCTGCAGCCACCAGCTTCCAAAGCCACCCTCCCCCAGGCCCAGGAAGGACATAGCACCGAGTCTGAGAGCCCAGAGCCCCTGCTTGTGGGCACAGGTGGCCTGCGGTGCTTGCTAACACACGAGGCCTCACGGGTGTTGAGCCATAGCTGGGGTCCCCCACTCTCCCCACGCTGCAGATGAGGACTCGGATGGCAGACAGTTGAGTGGCCTGCCCAGGAAGCCGTATGCCCAGGAAGCCGTAGCAGCAAGACCAAAACCCAGGTCCATGCGACACCGGAGTTCCAGCTGTGTCTGCCACACTCCTGAGCGTGTCTACCTGGCTCACGGCTTCAGAAGAGAAGGCTGGGGTCTTGCCCCTCAAGGACAGAGCCCTGGGGACTGATGCTGCTTCCCCACAGGGAGGCCTCCTGGGACCTGGGGCACTGCAGGGACTGTCAGGAGCTTCCAGCACAAGAGCCACCAGGACCCGAGCCTGGGTGCCCACCCCACCCCGTCCCACGCCAGCCCTCAGCCACACGGTGCCCCCCACCTCTGCTGCAGGCAGTGTCGCTCCTGGGACATCACCCCACCCCCGCAGCTGCGGGAGCACGCTGTCCACTTGGTCCACTCCCCCCACCAGTAGGCCGTGGCATCGGCGCCGCCCTCCAGGCTGTTGGATGTAGGGCTGTTGTCCTGGTGAGAGAGCCACAGACAGTCAGAGGAGGGCTCAAGTACCCAGTAGGATGTGCCCAAGGGCCTCGCTGGTGGCTGGGCAGGAGGACACAGGGGTCCCTCCGCAGTCTAGGCTCAGTCTCCCAGCACCAGGCCCAGGGTCCCCTGATCTTCAGGCCTGAATGTCGGGGACCTTGGCAAGCTCTGAGGCCTCAGCTCTCTGGCCCACTTGCCCACACAGCCTGGGCCCCATGTGGATCTGGGGGAACACAGCCCACCTTTACTGGGTAGGGAAGCACCGAGCCACCCCCAGCCACTGTCCCACTCACGGCCAGGAACTCGGAATGGTCAGAGCCCCAGTTCAGGACCAGTCTGACCGGCCCTGTGGACAGGTTCCTGGGAACCAGGGGGTCTCTGGGCTTCTGGGCATGTGCCCCACACCTACCTCACAGTGCTCCAAAGTCAGCCTGTTTTGGGGTGACTACACCTGCATGAGTGGCTGAATCAGGGCCCTGGACAATGACACCCCACTCACCGAGAGCTCTGTGGATGCTGCACCCCCAGCTACCACCGCCATGGCCAGCAAGGACCAGGCCCATCGTGAACACTGCCATCCTCCATCCATCCTAAGAATCAAGGCCGCTGTCACTTCCAGGCCACAGCCAAGTGTGGGGAGGTCCCCAAGGCTCACCCGGGGCCCCAAGAGGCAAAGTTATCTGGGATTGGCTGGTTGTGGCTGCTCATCTTTTGGGTCAGCAAGAAGGCACTTGAGGAGCATTTAGAGAGGCCAGTCCAGGCCTGGGCATAGACAGGTGGTGTGTATGCCAAGTCTGGACCACCCTTGATCTGAGGGCACACAGGAGAGCTGCGTGCTCTGCCTCCAAGCCCCAAGCTCCCTGGAGACACCAGGGACAGCCGAGTGGCTGGAGGCCCAGGCTGGGGGGAGTCGGGATGGAAAGGAACAAGGGCAGCAAGGACCAGGTCGGCCCTGCTCTGCCCTGCTGAGCTTTGCTCAGCCCTCCCACCCGGTGGGCCCCAAGAACCTCAGGGGAGCACCCTCTATGAGACCCCAGCCCAGGAGTCTGCACCCCACACCAGGAAGATGGAACTGGGGGAAGGGGGCAGCTGGTGACAGCAGCCCTGAGCCATCTGGCTGACCCCTCCCAACAAGCCAGCACTGTCAGGGTCACACCAGGGTCAAATAGATGGATCCAATCAGCTCCCAGGCACGTGACCCTGCCCCACCTCACTGCCCACCCTGCCCCAGAAGGGAGGGAGAGGGGAACCTCACCCGCAGGGAGTTAGAGAAGGGGTTTCTGAATGGACCCGGCCCAGATGGCGGAAGCTGACCGGCTCCCAGACAGCAGAGGCCTGTCCCACACCCGGGTCTATTTGGGGCAAATGTGGAGGTCGCCCTCCCTGCAGCCCTGAGGCCGGCCCTGCCTCCCAGCACCTCGCCTCCGGACCCCCTTCCTCAGGCCAGGCAGGACAGGTGTTCGCACATCCTGCCTTTGGGGATCCCTGCCCCACCAGCCCGTGCGCCCCCGAGCTCCTTCTGCACTCTAACCTCCTGGCAGCAGGGCCTGCGCGGGCCCATGTGCTCCCTGGCGCCCGGCCCCGCCCTCGGCTGAAGACAGGTGCCGAGAGCAAGCGCGCCGAGCGCACACTTGGTTTTCATTAAGGCTCCCAGACGCCGCTGGCCTTGGGCCAGGCCGGCTTGCGCGGGATCCGTCCCTCCCGGGGTCCCAAACCGGCAGCGGCTGCGGGAGGGGTTTGCAGGGCGGCCGGCAGCTCCGGGGCAGAGGCTGCAGTGGAGGGGCCAGCTCTGCAGGTCAGGTCACAGGTCCGTCCTCCTCTGGGCAGACAGGCACCCCGGGGGCCTCGAGGGGCTGCTCAGCCCCACCCTGGGCAGCTGGAGGAGCAGAACCCAAGCCCCCGGAGGCTGCGACATTTCAGGGACAGGGACTCACGGCCTACCTGGCCCGGCCTCAGCAGGTTGTCCTCCCAGAGCAGGGTGAGTGCCAGGTGCGCAGCCAGCGGGAGCGAGCAGAGGCCAGGGACGTGCAGCTCTGCCTCTCTCCTCCTCGGCAGCCGCCCCTCTCCCACTTCAAAGAGCATCTGAGGGAGGGGATCCCGGGAGGGGAGGGGCGCAGCCCAGTGGCGGCTCTGTGGCCGCAGCCGCCTTTATAGCTGTCAGGCAGACGGGGAGGAACTCACACTTCCCACCAGGCCGCTGCCCCGCCCGCCGCCGGCCGGACTGGCGCACACTTTAACCCGCTCTGCGCCTCTGGAGCCCCGCCAGGCGGCCCAGCTGCCTGCTGGCTGCTGCTACGAGGCCCAGGAGCAGCGAGCAGGAGGCCGGTGGCCCAGGTCCCGCGTGGGGACCACATGCGGGTGTCCAGATGGAGCAGCTAAGCTGAGGTCACCGGGGAGGCCAGCGGTGGCCACGCGGAGTCCCCAGGCCGCCTGGCCCTCCAGAGGGCCCACCCCTTCCACCCCTGCGAGAAGGGCTGGAAGCAGGGGGTGTCCCCACCCACAGAGCAGAGACAGGTCACGGCCCTCAGGCCAGCAGCCAGCCTCCTCGGGGCCGTCCCCACGCACAGAGGTCTAAGCAGGTGAGGAAAAGAGAGAAGCCTGGCCAAGGGCTCCCGGGACGGGACAGATGTGTGCGGCCTGCTGACCAGACGGCCGGGATGGCCAGGGCCAGCGGGAGAGGTGCAGGGAGGCTTGCAGATGTTCGGCACCAGCTTGGCAGGGCACGGCGGCCTGGCTGGGCGCTATGCCCACTGGGCAGCCCCTGGCAGGCTCTGTCTTCCTGCTGAGCCAGAGCACAGAGGTGCAGGGGCTGGCAGCTGGCCAGGGGAGCCAGCAGGCCCTGCATGGCCAGGACCTGTCCCCCACAGCCCCCACCCCAGAAAACAGGGGTGGGGCAGGGGAGCAGAAGCCAGGCCAAAGCTGTGTAAGGTCTGAGCCCGTTCATCCACGCCCTGGGCTCCGCGAGCAGACGTCCAGGCCTGCGGCGGTGCCCAGAGGGCCTCTCCCTCCTCCTCCTGCTCCAGCGCCTCCCTGAGCAGCTCAGAGCTGCACCGTGGGGAAGTTCTGTCCTGTGTGTGACCACCAGCCGGAAAGGTCAGGAAAGAGCAGCCAGCAATAACAGTGAAAACAGCAGCACCGCTCCCAAGCCGAGCCTGTCCCGGGTCCAGGGCTGGGGACGGAGGCCTGGAAGTTCCGAGGAACCTGCCTAAGGTCTGGGACACCAGGGAGCCCTCCGGCACCTCACACACCATCTGCCAGGCCCTCTGCCAGCCCCAGGCCTGGACGCGGCAGCCCGGGTCCCTCCAGCCTTCCCCCAACCCTAACCAGCCCCACACCGCCCCCTGGGGGCGGCGTGCAGAAGTACAGCCCTGCTGGGCCATCACGTGGCCCTGGCACATGCCCTGAACACTGCACCCACACGCAGTCCCCCCTAGTACTCAGGATCGTGTCACACTCTCCCAGGGAGTCTGTGCCGCCCTGTTCTCCTCCCCTCCGGCTGGCCGCCAGGCCCTGCACACCCTGGCACCGTCCCTGTGCCTCCTGGCACTTCTGGCTCCCGCAGGCAGCCAGTACCACAGTGACTAACCGTTTCCCCTGGGAGGAACCCCATGGCCAACCCACACACCCACCCCCAGCGGCGGTGCTTGGTGAGGCGGGCCGGCACCACCTGCCTGGTGGCCTCCCAGCTCCCTATGCCCACCGTGCTTCTACCCTCTCCTGACCTCCAGGAGCCCCTGATTCGAGACTCCGGGGCAGCTGTGAGGTCCTGGGCATTGCAAAGGAGACACTCCAAGTCCCACTGCCCAGGGCAGGTCCTCAGTGCCCCAGCGCCTCCCCATCCAGTGACAGCTGCTGCCTCGTCCCCAGTGGAGTCCCCAGCACCTGTAGGGGTCGGCGTTCACCCTCTAATATCCCCGTCCCAAGATGGTGACATGACAGCAAACAGCGTGACAGTGGGTGGGGATGACAAGGAAGCTTCGTTCTGCCTTTTGGGCAAGGGACTCTGCATTCTGCACCGAGCCTGCAGTCACCTACCTGGCAACTCCTGGGTCACTGGGTCCTGACCCCTCCCTCCGTGACGCAAGTGCTGTGGCCAGTGTGGCCCACCGGCACTGGCACCCGGGGTCCAAGCAGCCGTCCCCTCAGCGCCCCTCCACGGCACCCATCTCCTCCTGTTCAGGCCCACCAGATGCTCTCTGAGACACTTCTGAGACACCCCAGGGCCCTGCATCGTCTGCCGGAATCCTGTCCCTGCCTGTGGCTGGGACTCTCCGCACACACGGAGGCCGTGTCCCCAGAGCTCCGTCCATGCAGAGTCCGTCTGCAGAATGCCCAGAGCTCCTTGGGGTCTCTCATGTGGCTGTGACTCTGGGAACTCCCTGTACCACACGCCAGAACATCCTGGGTACCTGGGACCAGGGAGCAGTCCCACACCCAGTGAGCTTTCTCACACACCACCCATAGTGACTGGGGCTGGGCACGCATGGGTGGTGCCAGGGCCGTGAGCCCGCACTCAGGAGGCTCAGCTCCAGGGAGAGCCACTGTCCCTCAAGTGACTGTGACCCTAGCGCCATTTCGGGCCCTGGCAGGATCTGCAAACTGCTTCCTTGAGCTCGAGTGCCACTCATGCTCCCAGCTGGGCAAATGCGGGCACGTCAGAGAACTCTCAGCCCCCCAGCTTCCTCACCTGTGCGGTAAGGGCGGCGAGGCGGTCTCCACGCTGTGCCTGTGAGGCTCCCGTGAGCTGGTGCAGGAGGAGACAGAGGATGAGGCCTGCGAGGGCAGGCTGAGCCCCCGCCTCTGGGCTGCCCTGGTTTGCCGGGCCCTAGCTTTTGTGCCTTTCCTCAGCCCCTACCAAACCACATCAGGCCTCACAGTCACATCCAGACACGAGGAAGCCAAGGCCGAGGCTCAACCCCTGGAGGAGCCTCTGCTGGCGCAAACGCTGAGTCCAGGACACACACGCTGGTCCCTCTGGAGCCGGCTCTGGTGCACTCGGTCCGCGGTGGGACCCTGTCCCGGACACTTCGCACAGCTTCACAAGCCCAAGGCAGTGTCTTCTCCTGCAGGGTGTCAAAGGCTCAGGAGCCACACCCAAGCGTAATGCAGGACCAGAGAGATTTGGCGTAGAGGATCCATGGACAAAGAGGAGGCTGCAGCCGGAGCAGTGAGATCCAGACACTCCTGAGTCCTCCAGAAACCATGGTACCCAGTTTCCGTCCAAGGGGGGCCTTCCCAGCCTCAGCCAACAGCTAGAGGACCGATGTTCCCGAGGGGACCCCACACAGCAGTGAGAGCCTGCCCAGGGAGTGCTGGGGTGCTGGGGGCCCAGGCCGCCGTCCCCTCAGCACCCCTCTGTGGCGTGAGATGAGAGACCACATGCCCCAAGCTGGACCACGGAGAACACTTCCCGCTCCTCCTCCTCCCTGCTCAGCAGGGAATACTGGCCTCATCGGTTAGGCCAAGGGGATATGCAGTTTAAACTGGGGATCTTGGGCCTGTGCATGGCTGAGCCTGACCAGGCCGTCATGGTCTGAGGCTCCATAAAGTGCGGCCCAACACTCTGGGAAGCTGAGGCAGGAAAATCACGAGCTCGAGCCCAGCCTGGGCAACAGACCCTATCTCAAATTACAAAGATAAGAAAAAGGCTGAGGTTGTATCTTATTGTGAAGGTGCTGGGTTCGATCCCCAGGACTGTGGAAAGGAAGGGAGAAAGGAAGGAAGGGGGAGGGGAGAGGAGAGCAGGACAGAAGGAAGGAGAAAGGGAGAGACAGGCTCTTCTGTCCCTAAATCCAAGCAAGAACAGGTTAGAAATCCTGGTATGGCTGGAAGCAGGCCTGTTGCTGGTGCCTCGGAAGGAAAGCCAAGCAGCTGGGTGCCCAGGCCACCACGGGCAAGGGCAGGAGCTGTGGGCCTGGGCTTCATAGCCTGTCCGGGGCTGGCTGGCTGGGCAGTGGCTCCGGCAGGAAGTGGCAAAGGCTAAGGACAACCCAGTGGACCTGCAAAAGCCAGGAGCAGGGCGTCCTGTCCATGGGGCGGGCATCTGACAGCCTCCCCACCAGCCCCAACTTGCCAGGGACCCTGGGAGCTCTGGCAGCAACGGAGTCCGAATGCCTGAGTCCCTGGGCCAGACAGGGGCTGTGGCTGCTGCTGACCCGTGTGCTGACTCTTCCCGGCCTCACTTGCTGGACGGTACTTGCCAGGCAACAGCCAGTGGGGTGGCAACGGGGCCCGATGACTGAAAGGGATGTGCGACCCAGCACCCCAAGGTCAGAACTCAGCCTGCCCAGCCCGGGAGGGTGAGAGCGCCCTGGCTGTCAGACCCAGCACTTCCAAGCTAGCTGGCCCTGTCCCACCCGAGCTGCCCACACCTGTGCCGGGCCAGACGGCACGCCAAAGCCCAGTGCAAGGAAGTGGTGGAGCCTCATCTGGCCCACCTGGCTGGTGCTCCTGAGCTGCTAATTTCCACTAGCAGCTGAAGAATCTGATTGCTTATGAGGACCTGGTTGAGGTGCAGACACAGCATGCTTCAGGACCCGTGGAGCGGAGTCTCTAAGCAGCAGTCGGGGACATCGGAGCCTGCCCTGCCTCAGTATGGGGACTCCACATGAGAGCTGGGGCATGGGCTCCCGCCACCCAGTGCTGGAGGCTGGGGGTAGCAAGCCTACAGAGTCCCGCTGGACCAGCGCCACCTGCTGGGCAGAGACAGGCAGCCCCTGCCTCCTGCTCTACCCCAGGGGCTGTAAGAGAGGCCAGGCCATCCTAAGAGCCCACGTGCCAGGGACAAGGGGCATAGAAGTGAGAGAGTAGCTCTGGCCTCCCCGGCCGGTATAAGAGGAGGGAAACACAGGACCCAGGGCACAGGAGTCAGGTATGGCCGGGCGGCCTTGGGAGCCTCCACCCCTCTCTGGGCCTCAGTCTCCTAAACTGCACTATAGAGAGAGCAGAGGTCGGCACCCCGCTGCTGCCCACGGGACACAGGAGGCGGCGGCCTTGGCACAGGCCTGGTGCTGGACAGCCGTTTGTGTGTATAAGTGATCTGCACCACCCATGCGGGCAGGGCCCTGGGGACTTGAAGAAGGCAGACACCGCAGAGGTTGGGGGTCAGGAAGGGCTGAGGGTCCGCTTCCGTCCAGAAGAGCCCAGGGTCTGGAGGGGCCGCTGGACTGAAGCCTGGATTCAGCAGGACGCGTCGGGCAGGAGGGACGGGGCCGGCTTGCAACTCTGCTGGCGGTGTCTGGCCTGAGCCCTCCCTCAATGCCCCCAAAGCGTCTGCCTTCCCAGTCCAGTCTGCCCCAGCTCTTCAGGCCGGAGACAAGAGGGTGAATCCAGTCCTGTGCAGAGCCAGGCGCCTGCTCAGAGGTCAGCTGGGCAGTGTCCAGGCAGCCAGGCTTGGGCGGGGGCCGTCCCCGCAGCCACCGTGTCCCCTGACATAGCAGTCCCCGTCCAGCCCCATGCGGGGCGCCCAGGCTGCCCCAGGCCTGGTACCTGTCTCGCTCTCGGTGCCTCCCTCCCCGGCCCTGTCTTCCCTAGCGCAGCAACAGGAGGTCAGCAGCCAGCGCCACCCGCTGCCCCACCCCTTCGCTCCTTCCCTTCCCCAAGCAGACACCCGGGGCCCGGAGCTCACAGCTGCAAAACACACACCCCACCCCGTGACAAGACAGACATGTGCTCCAAAAAGCGCTCCCCGCACTGACATCGCCTGCTGTTTCCTCTCCAGTCTCGCCTGCTCCTGGGGGTGAGGGCCAGGGGCTGGGGCAGAGGGGCAGGATTGAGGACCCCTGGGGACTGTGCCTCCCGCCCCCCACGACACACATAGCAGGGACTGGTTTTCCCATCGGCAAGGCCAGGCCAGCCCACCCACCTCTGCAGGCGCTCATTCATTCCTTTAACAAAGTCATTCAGCAGTGCTTGTTGGAGACCCAAGAGTGTAGGACTTGGGTGCCGCAGGCTGGGGCAAGGAGCCAGCAGCCTGAGCCCCTGCCCTGGACCCCACTGTGCAGCGTCCCCGCCATAGGGTGGACGGGAAGGTCACGGCATGTGGGGCATTTGTCTTGGGGTGGGGGTGCTGTCAGTCCCAGAACCGCAGACCCAGGCCAGGCTGCATATCAGCAAGGCCCCAGCCTGCAGGAGAGGCAGAAAGACACAGCACTGGGAGTGGGGAAGGCCCGGGGTGGGGGTCAGGGGTCCAGGGGTCCAGGATGGCCAGCCAGGCAGCCTCCATGGGCACTTGGACTTCACCGTGAGGTTTGCGGATACCTTGACAGGGTTTTAAGCAGTGCGATGCAACTAGGCGTCTCAGGTCAGGTGTTGGTGGTGAACAGCAGAAGTGGGCCATAGCCACCGGAGGCTAGAAAGCATTTTCGGGGAAGGCATGGGGTGTGGGACCTCAGGCGGAAGACCGGTGGGACACCCAGGCTTCCAAGCAGGGTGGCGTGGGCAGCATGGGGCCAGACAGCACTGACTCCAGTTCCCAGGAGGAGGAAGAGGAGGAGGAGGGTACGGGACGCGCCCACCCACAGCCAGAGATGCCGGCCCAGGCCAGCGTGATGGATGTCGTGGAGCCGCGCACTGCAGGCCCAGTGTTGAGCTTGAGAGCAAAGTCAGCCTGGGCAGAAGTCGTGGCGGCAGGTGAATCTGCCGGGGGCTCCACGGGAGGGGTGCTGGGAATGCGTGCCGCGGGGGACATGCGTGTGGCTGCGGTTTATCATCTGCGCACCTGTCCTGTGCTGACCGTACCACAAGGCCAAAACGGAACAGAAGCAGAGCATTTCGCCGACCACAGATCAACTCGTGGACGCAGAGCCCAGCTGGGCCACACGCACATCAGCCCTGGGCCGCAGGATGAGGGGGACGGGCGAGACGGGCCCCCAGACAGCGAGCCACAGAGACGGGGTGCTGTGGGAAGAGGAGGCAGGAAAGCCAAGAGGGTGGCGCGGCTGCGGCCTCACCGGGGCACAGTGGCGAGGGTCCGTGTGCTGGTTCACGGAGTCACAGTGTCACCCAGCACAGAGCGGGCCAGCTCGGGTCCTGTCGCCTCCTGCCGCCGGTGGACCCGGCCCCGAGCCGCAGCGCCCAGGGGCTGCTCATCCTGAGGAGGGGCCTGAGGGTGGCCTGAGGTCAGGTTGTGCACACAGGGACTTCCCCGAGGTGGCCGCACCGAGGACAGCCACATAGCCTCCTGCTCGCCCCTCTGCTCCACAGGGAGAGGCTCGCGAGGCCAGGGCCGATCACGTGGCTGTCAGCTGTTGGGCCACCGCGGTGGGGGTGCTCAACACCTGCCTCATCCACTCTTCAGCCTGGGTGTGGGCGCCACAGCTGCGCCGGCCGCGGACGGAGCCGGCCTTCTCCCCAGCCAGCACGGTCCTGCTGCCCATGGGGACGCTCGTGGCCAAGCTGCTCCTGCCCACCCTCAGCAGCCTGGCCCTGCTGCCCACCGTCAGCATAGCCGCCAAGCGCCGCTTCCACATGGAGGCCATGGTCTACCTCTTCACCATGTTCTTCCTGGCTGTGAGTCTGGGCCACTGGGGCAGAGACGGGTCTCTCCCTGGCTGTCTGTGCGTGGGGAGCGGTAGAAGTGAAAGAAAGAGCTCAGGGTGGGGTCTGGTTGGGGAGAGACGGCTCCCAGGGTCCCTCCCCTCTCTGGGCCTCAGTTTCCCCATCTGTGTGGGGAAGATTTCCTGTGCACGAGCCCAAGCCGGCGGTGGCCAGGTCTGCGGTTGCAGCGTCGCTGCACTGGGCCTTCCCCGGCCTCCCACCTCACTTCTTCAGCTTTGCCCTCAACCAGGGCCGGCAGGAGGAGCGGGGAGCCAGGGCTGGCAACGCAGGGCACAGGCGGGGTGTGTGCGCGTGTGCACGGGGCCTACCGCTCCCCGGCGTCTTCTCTTGCTATTTATGTCGGTTCCTGGAGCTCTGCCCCCTCCCCTCGCCCCCTCTGTTTCCAGGTAACTGTCATGGGCTGATTTCTGCGTCTTTTATAAAGCAGAGCACCTGGCACCCGCTGCCTTTGGGGAAGGTGCTTGAGTCTGGGCCTCCCTCCCGCTTCCCTCGTGGGTCTCTTTGTTTCTCCTCCCGGTTTTCTATCTCATGCCCCTTCTCTCCCCCGCTTCTCTCTCTGTTTCTGGGTCTCTATCCCGACAAAATTCACCTCTTGCTTGACCCTTGGCTTCCCTGACTCCGGCCCTGCCGCCGTCTCTCAGTTCTGTCTACCCACACCTCTAGCTTGCTTCTATCTGTCCATTCTCCATCTGCCTGTGTGTCTATCATTTACTGAACCTGCCATCCACGTGCCGCCCATCTCTGTAATCTAAATCTACGTGGTCATCCCCCACCCACTCTTCCCCCTGACTGATAATCTACCCACCACCGTCTCCACCCACTGCCATCTCTCTGTCCTAGTGTCCAAGTGTCCTCCCACCTCCGAGTTCCCCAGGCCTCCCCCAAGGTCCACCTGCTGGGCTCACACAAGACTCCCCTCTCCACGGCTCCGTTCCGCAGACTCGCCCTCCCCGACAGCCTGGCCCTGTGTGACAGGAACCCTGGGGAGTGGGCGGCCGCCGGCCTCCTTGTGCAGCAGAGGGGCCTGTGAACACCCTCCAGCCTTGGTGGCCAGGCCATGCATGTGTGCACAGCCGGCAGCTCTGACTGGGGAGGCCTGTGAGCACACGGTCTGCACACTGTGCCTACACGCCCTCTGCGCACTAGCCAGCCAAGTCCAGCCCGCGTTCCAGGTCCAGGTGGGGCGCGCAGGTCCCCCCACCCCCGTTGGGATGCTGCTGTGGCAACACTGAGCTGGGACAGGCCTGGCCCCGAGGGGTCGGGCGCCCTGGGACTCAGCATCCTCCTGGCGTAGGAGACGGCAGCCACGGACCTGGCATCCCACACACCCTGGACAGCGAAGAGCCTGAGGCCCGGGGTGCTGTGGTCCCGTGTCACCCCAACATTACACGCTCTGAGCCCCTGGCCCCCCAGGCCCTGCCCAGCGCCACCCCACTTTCTCCTTGAAGGACTCAGCCCAGACCAGTGGCAAGGTGTCTGTTGGGCAGAGGGAAAGCCAAGCCCAGAGCCCAGCCCAGGGACAGAGGCGATCTCATCCCCAAGGCTCAGGCTGGGCCCCCAGCACACCCCAGGCACCAGCCGGGTGCCCCTCCCTGCCGGGCCGGGCCCACAGCTGCCTCCTCAGCCAGCCTCAGAGGCCACGGCCGCACCCAACGCCCCCAGAGTGGCAGGGCCAGCTGCCTTCTGCGACAAATGTCCTCAGCCTCAGAGCCGCAGTCTGCACCTCCCAGAGTTCTGCGGCAACACAGCCTCCTCTATGAGATGCCTTGCTGGGTGTTCAACCTCTGGGGTCCTCTAAAAGCTCCACAGAGAGTCTGTCTTCATCCTGCTGGACAGAGAGGCCCTGCAGGTTCAGCTTCCTGCCTCAGCCCCACAGCAAGGGTCCACGAGGCCCGACACAGATCTAAGCTCCTACCCACCCTACAGTGCCCTAGTAGGGCCAGCCACACCCCACACCACAGGGGATGCCATGTGCCAGCCCCTGGCCAGGCGGTGCAGTGCTGTTCACCACCCCATCCACAGTCCATAGAGCTGGCCCCAGCAGGAGGAAAGGAGGGCCTGAAGGGAGGGGCTTCTCTCCCACGGATATTTGGGCACCTTGATCAGCCCCCACCTGAAGTTCTCCTTCCCTAAGGCCACCAGTGCTGCCCTGCACCACGTCCCCTTCCTTCACCCTCTTCTTTGGCAGCGTCAATCCTTAAAGGGTACAGCACGCACCGCACAGCCAGGCTCTCCAGGAGGCCTGCGCAGGATGCAGACACGGGAGCCCCTCCCTGGCCCTGGTTGCTCTCCCTCTGCTGACGGCTCGTGGAGCCACTGAGCCTCAGGCCACCTGCGTCTGCAGCCAGCAGCTCCGAGCCTGGCCCGACTCGCCGGGCTGGCCTGGTCCTTCCCCTGAGCCGGCTCACCAAGAGCCCTTGTGCTGCTCTCCGGCCGAAGCCGTCAAAATAATTATGTCATGCGATTAAATATGATGAGATGTGTGTGCGAAAGGACAGAGGTTTTCCGGAAGAAACAAGTTGCCTGCTAGGAAAATACTCCTTGGAGATATTTTGCTTTAAGAATGGAGTTCAGCCAGGTTTGGGGAGACGGCAGCAGGAAAGTGGGGGAGATCAACAAGCGTGGGCCCTGGGAGTCTGTTGGAAACAGGGCGGCCAATGCTCGGGGGAGGCCTCAGACCTTTCTCAACAAGGCCCCCGGTGCCCAGTGCCCCCTCCTGCCTGAGGACACGACTGCGGAGCGGACCGGTGCTTGTATGGGTCACGAGGGCCTGGTGGCGCCCCGAGAAGGCCCTGGCCTGGCACCGAAAGACTAGCGCATAGCCAGGCGTGGTGGAGCACGCCTATGAGCCCACCACTCGGGGAGACTGAGGCAGGAAGATTACAAGTTTCAGCCCCACCTAGCAATTTAGTGACTTAGTGAGACCCTGTCTCAAAATAAATTTAGAAAAGGGCTGAAGATGTAGCTCAGTGTAAAGGTCCTGGGTTCAGTCACAAGGACTGCAAAGAAGAAAAGAGGGAGGGGGGGGAGGGAAGAGAAGAGAGAGGGGGAGGAGAGGCTGCCAGTGAACACTGGAAGGAGGGTGTAGACCCGGTCTGTCCCCACCTCTCAGGCTTTGGTGACCACCCTGCCTTGGTCCGATCAGGCCCCTGCAACGGGACACGGCTGAGCCTCAGCACTAGGGCTGGGCCCCGCCTCCCAGTGTCTCCGTGGCACCTGGGTCGCACAGGACCTGACGGCCTCCGTGTCCCCGCAGCTGCACCACGCCTGCGCCGGGCCTGGCTTGTCCATGCTGTGCTTCCTGCGCCATGACATCCTGGAATACTTCAGCATCTACGGCACGGTGCTCAGCATGTGGGTGTCCCTCATGGGTGAGTGGCCCCGGCCAGCCCCAGCCCCGCCTCAGTGCTCGGCCTCCATGTGGGACCCGATCGCCCCAATTCACTTCCATAGGGGTCTTTTATGAAAATAGGCGCCTACCCGGGAAGCAGCACTCTGCCTTTCCTGTGAAATGGACTGAGCACCATTACGGTGGTGCACACCTGTAATCCCAGTACTCAGGGAGGCTGAGGCAGGAAGATCACAAGTTCAAGTCCAAGCTGGAGAACTCAGTGAGACCCTCCCTCAAAATAAAAAGTGATGGGGATGCAGCTCAGGGGGAAAGCCCAGGTCCAACCTCCCATACTACAATCAGTCAATCAACCAGGATCAAATGGGCTGGAATTCAGAGCTCTCCCGGCCAGACTGGGCCACGGATCGCCCATCATGGGTACCTAAGTCTGGGCACAGCCAAGAGGGCAAAGGACACTCACTGCTCTGGTGTCTCTCCTGTCCCAGCGCTGGCCGACTTTGATGAGCCCCAGAGGTCGACCCTAGTGATGCTGGGCGTGCTGACCATCGCTGTGAGGACCTACCACGACCGCCAGGGCTACGGCGTGTACTCGGGCCCCATCGGCACCGCCGTGCTCATCATCGCGGCCAAGTGGGTATGTGCAGACCACCTCCCGGCCGCCTGGGCCTCCTATCCCTCCAGCTCTCCTGGGGAGCATGGCAGAAACCCATGGTTATGACAACCGGGTGCCCAGCTCCACCCTGTCCGTCCCCACCTCAGTCCCCAGTGCTGGGTGAAGCTGGACCACTCCCCTGATCAGCCTCCCCGACGCTGCACCTGAGTCCTGAGTGGCCTCACCGTGCATAGGAGGCATCAAAGACAGGCCCACCCAGGAGACTCGGAAGACTTCCTGGCGGCAGTGAGCCTGGGGCATGGCTCTAACTTGGAAGGAGGGACTTGGATGGGGTTGACACCCCCCGAGTTGGTTTCTAGTCTCAAGGACTCCTGGGAAGCACCCACAGCCCAGCCCAGCTCCTGCAGGCCCGCCTCCTGCTGCAAGGCTGAGACATACTCGGGTGGCTGGAGTGAAGGAGGGGCAGTGTAGTGGTACCTGCTGAGAGGGGGACAAAGCCCAGGCCTGAGAGGCCAGCTGGCTCTGGACCAGGGCCTCAAGGCAGGATGGGCCACGGCCGCCCTGGGGTGCAGGAGCTGGGGTGTCCCCTGGGGAGGAAGTGCCCACGGCCTCCGGTGACTCGCCAGCTCCTCTCCAAGTCATCGGGTGCAGGGTTTGTGTTGCCATTTGGTTAAGGGAGAAACTGAGGCACAAGACAGTAAGGACCAGACACAAGGCCCCAGCAGGGCAGCCATGGCAGCTTGACTCTCACCAAGAGGCAGAGCCGTGCTCCCTGCTGCAGTTTGAGGAATGGAGCGCCCTGGGCTGACCCTGAGCCCGGCTGCCTGGGGGTGGCTTGAGGTCCCCGCTAATGACTGCTCTGGAATTCATAAACACAGACACCCCCCGATAACGCCCCATCCGGCCCGCCAAGGGGTGCTCCTTGCCGCTCTTGGCCGACTCTGAACCTCTGAACCCGACTGGGTTCTAATTAGCCAGGACAGAATCCACTCCCGGTTCCTACTGGGTGCCAGGAGGCTCCTGAGGCCCCAGACTGGCGCTGTCCCCGGGAACAGGGGAGGTGGCTGCCGTCCCCCGCGTCTGGGCTCACGCTGCGAGTCCGAGACCATCGAGAGTGCCATTTATCTTGGATTTTCGAGGGCAGTTGCTTCCTGGAATGTGGGTGGGTTTTCCTTCCAACCTCGTCCCTCCCTGGGAGAGCTCTGGGGACACAAGCATCCTTGGAGAGCAGAAAAAGAGAGAGCTGAGCTTGGGCGTGGTGGTGCACGCCTGTGATCCCAGCACTCAGGAGGCTGAAGCAGGAGGATCACCACAAGTTGGAGCCCACCCTGGGCTGCATAGTGAGACCCTATCTCAAAATAAGAAAAAGAAAGAAATAGAGAGCGCTGGGCGACAGGGGCTCCCGGGACCGCAAGGCTGCCAGGTGAGGGGAGTGCCCACTTCTCCAGACCTGTGCCAGTCCCCAGTGACACCTGCCAGCAACAGTGAGTTCTAGGACACGGCAACCAGGCACTGTGTCAAGACGTGTGCCAGCAGAGCCCACCAGGCCAGGCGCTGTCCTTGTGTCCCCTCCCTTGGTGACCTGCATCATGGGGTGCTGCCCTGCACCCCACACTTACTGTCCATGCTGGATGTGTGGCAGCTTCTCCCACCTGTGTCCATGGCAGCCGGGTTCTGGAGCAGCTCCGGGACAAGGGTTGGCGGCCAGCCCTTCCTCTCTGTGCTCCCCTTCTTTCTGGCTCCCCCCCTCCATTGCTTGGCTTGGGGGTCGCTGCCCACAGAGCCAGGGCCCCCCCTGGGGAGCACGCCTGATACGGGCCAGGTGGCTGCTTACTCGCTAGAGTCCCATAGCTACCACCCCTGCCCCGAGGGCTGTCACAGTCCCCTGGGGATTCCTGGAGGGAGGTGGGGTCCTCAGCGCAATGTCCCAGAAGCCCCCAGCCCAGCCACTGCTCCTGCGCTGTCCAGGGTCTCCACTGGGTAGGCTGCCCTTGTATGTGGTAGGGCTGGCTGGAGTGAAGGGCGTCTGGATGTGCCAGCCCATAGCCAGATGGCTCAGGAAGGCAGTGCCCCTCCGAGCCTGAAAGCTGGGCTGTCTCCCCTGTGCCCGCAGCTGAGGAAGATGAAGGAGAAGAGAGGCCTGTACCCCGACAGGAGCGTCTACGCCCAGCAAGTTGGTCCCGGCCTCTGCTTCGGGGCCCTGGCCCTCATGCTCCGCTTCTTCTTCCAGGTAGGGGCGGGCACAGAGGAGCCAGTCACCCACCCAGCCCCGCCTCCTGCCCCTGCACAGTAGGGGCATTGTCTGTCCCCAGTGCCACCAGCATCGTGCGCGGCGAGGGCGTGGGGGACACAGAGGGAGGGGGAGGGAAAGGGAAGGGAGGGGCAGGGGTCTCCCAGTCCTCCCACTTGGAGGTCTTCGGCGTAGACTTTCAGTGCAGTGTGGCCTGGTGGCACAGCTGGCCCTGGACGACTGAGCTCTGGGCAGGACCAAGCACAAGACCTTGCCCTGTCCCCTGCAGGAGTGGGACTACACCTACGTCCACAGCTTCTACCACTGTGCCCTGGCCATGGCCTTTGTCCTGCTGCTGCCCAAGGTCAACAAAAAGGCTGGCGACGCGGGGGCCCCAGCCAAGCTGGACCTCTCTACCCTCTGCTGCGCCTGTGTCTGAGGCACCCCGGCCGCCCCTCCCCACCCACTCCATCCCCGGTGTCCCTCCCACCTGGTGTGTCTGCGATCAACGGTCTCTTCCGAGTCCTCAGAGGGGCCCAGGACTGGGCGGAGGCCTTGTGTCTACTGCACGCAGCACTTAGCCCAGTCCACCCAGTGCCCCCGAGGGGGTTCTGTACCACCCCAGGGCCGCGTCCCTGCCAGGCACTGCTGTTTTCTCCTGAAATCAGTTGGCACCACTTCCGTCCCCCACCCCAGGCTGTGAATGTCCCCAAGAAGGCCGGTTCTGCCTGAGCTGGGGCCTGCCTCACACCCTGTGCCTCCAGCTAGGACCTGACTCTATGGCTTCAGCGATATCAGGAGCACCCTGCCCCCCACCTTCTGCCTTTCCCACACTTTATTCAAGTCCCAATTCTTAGACAGGTCCCCAGGAGAGCAGTGCGCCCTCCTGCAACTCCACGGCCAGGTGCCGGTGCCCATGGTGGACAGGCGGCCGCTGGCTCCCTGTGCAGAAGGCAGGCCCTGCCCTGGTCCTCCACGCCCTCCACACTGCCCTGTGGCCCAGTGCCCACCCCCCACGTGGATGTGGCTGGGGCAGTGCCCGGAGCCAAAGCTCTGCGTAGGCCGGCGGGTGTCCGGCTCAGCCGTGGGGCAGGAGGGAGCCCCCCTCTGTGGCAGCTGGGGGAGGCCATGGCTATAGCTCTGAGACATCACCTCAGAGCTCCCCCCCTGCTCCTGAGACTCCACTCATCCGACGGCAGGAAGTCACCTACACCTGTCTGGGGCCTGTTTGTGTTTCCAGATGGCCACTGCAGAAGCAGCTACCCACATCCACTCCCCCCACCCCAGTGGGGCAGCCACTGATCTGTCCTGAAGTCACCTCCTGCAGTCCCCTCCCAACCCCGCCCACGCCTCAGCCGCTCCACCTGCTGCCTCCCTGGTGACCCAGGCCCCTACCCTTCCCAGCCCTGCCTGGCCTGTGCCTGGTGGCAGGCCCTGGTCTCTGCCAGCCTTGCTCTCTGGCCCCACCACGGGTACGGTTCTCCCCTTCTCGGCCCTGCCCTGCCTTGGGGCTGGGATAGCGGCCTCATTCCCAGGCTGAGGGCCCACAGCCGGGGCTCCGAGGAGGAGACCCACAACACACCCCATGTGACCCATCATGGGGCCCAGGACATGGAGCTGCAAGGGCCCCCACCAACTGCTCTGCCTCCCCCAGGCTCCACTCCCATGCACACGCACATACCATGCAGACAGTGCACCTGTGTACAGAGACACACCACAACACCATACTCATGGACACACCACAGATGACTGGGTGCCATGGACACAGTCCCCCTCATGGACACAGCCTCCCTCGGCCCCGTCCCACATTCCCACGGGGCAGACCACTAAGTGGTCAAGGGCGGAGCTGGGCCCCGGGCCCTCCAGAAGCAGGTGTCTGAGGGGCGGCCCTGCTCCCTCCACCCCCTCCTACCCACCGGCTCTCAGTGCCAGGGAGATCAGAGGCTGGGGTGCTCCCAGGTAGGGAGGAGGCAGGTACAGGCCCCCGGCCGCTGGCCCACAGCACCGGCCTCCACCGCCGCAGCCTGATTTATGGAGCCACTTGGGCGCCCCTGCCAAGACTCTAAGTCAGGGATGATTAAGAGCCTTGCTCCAGCGCTTGGCCCCGCCCCAGCCCCCCTGGGCCCTAGACTGGGCCTTGTCCCCCCAAGGCTGGGGCAGATCACTGCCAAGGGCACTGAGCGGGTGACGGAATCTTGCCATTTTCCAGCTGCGTCCTCCTCGGGTGGCCTCAGATGCCGAGGCCCGCTGTGATACCTTGGAGCTCTGAAAGGGGCAGGAGGGCCCAGGTCAGAAGGGGAGGCCAGGAAGGGAGGGATCCCCAATGCCTAAGACAGCCAGGCTTCATGACCGGCAAGAGAGCACCTGAGCCCGTGTTGCTGAGCCCCGGGTCCCCAAATCCTGGAGTGGGATTGTGGTCTCCAGGGTCACCTCCACCAGCTTCAGGCTCTGGGCAGAACTCCCTTTCCCACCTGGCCCCAAAGGGGACCAGGAACTTTGGTACTTGGGACAGTGGACTGCTGCTCGTGTCCCCGAGGTCCCAGCATGGCACCGTGGGGCAGAGCTTGTCTCATGGTGGAGGTGCTCAGAGCCGTCTGGGGGGCCAGCCATGTGGGGAGCCGCTGGGCCGGACAGCAGCGAGGCCTCCAGGGCGGCCGACTTTCCACCTGCACCGGCAAGGGCCACAATAAAGCCAGGTTGTGTCTAAGTTCCAGATGCACCGTCGACGATCCGCTGTGTGTCTCACGCAACACCCGGGGTGTATTTGTGGGAGGCAGACTTACACTGAAAAACAATTTGCCGTGCGTCTGACGTTCAAGTGTGACAGAGGTCAGCAGCCCTGCCCATGTGCCCCACGGCTCCGGTACTGTGCAGAGCACAGCGTGTGTGAGACGTGAGGGGAAACTTTTGTTTGCCCTGCACAGATACCCTGCACAGGAGGCTTTGGGAACCTGGGGTAAACCAAGGGGCGGAAGCAGTGGCCTTGTGGTAGGGCACCAGTGGCCGGAGGGTACTTCCCCTCAGCTGAGCCCCTTCTAAATGGGAGGAGGTGGGCACAGACCTTCCTGGGCCTGTTGTGGCTTCGAAGGCCATGTCCTATCCCAAGGCCCGGGGTCACCTCCTCTGTCATGCGTGCCCTGTGCCAGGCTCACCCCGCACCCTTCCGCCACACGCCCTCGGGCCGGCGCAGAGGCATACTGTGGGCAGCACAAAGGCAGAGAAGCATTATAAACATTTACAATAACGTAGACAAAACAGTCTATTGTAGTGCCCGCCCCACCCCCAGCTGGCAGGAGGCTGGCAGGGCACTGAGGCTGGCTGGGCCCACGCCAGGACGGCCCCAGGCACGCGTGGAGGTGTTTCCGTCTGCACGCGCTGTGCTGTGCCCTGTGTCGCGTCAGCCTTGAAATTTCCTGTCTCTGTTATTCTCCTCGCCAGGAAGACATCTGAAACCCAAAACTTTTATTGCCCCTTTTAAAAGGCCTTTACAGCTCCCGGTTGACTTCCGAGCAGCCCGTCCTGCTCTGTCCTGCGCTGCGGGGCTGGGATTGTAGTTAGGGGCAGCAGCACACTGCGCGCCGCGAAAGGAATGCGCCCTGGTCTCGCCGGCCGGCCGGCCGCAGGGTCTTGGCCAGGGAGGAGCCGGGGCAGGGGAGGAGCTGCGGGAGGGTGGCAGCCGCGGGAGGGCGGTCCTGGGTGTCCGTGTCAGCTGGGATCCAGCACCACTCTTGCTGACTGGTGCCCTGCTAGTGGCAGCAGCGGGTCTCTGCACCCAGACAGCTGCCCACCTTTCCACCCGGCAGGGCTGGGTCACCTGGGCCTTCTCTGACGCCTGTGCTCCTCTTCCTCCCCTTCCGAGGGAACACAGCCTGGCCCTGTGGTGGCCCTAGGGGCCCTTCAGGTGAGCCCAAGTGTTAGGAAATTAAAATTGCAGAGAAAAGATGCAGGAGGCGAGATGGGGTTCAGGGTGGGCCAGGGAAAAGGCCTGGGACTGCGAGGCCTGTGTTCCAGCGCCCCCTCCTGCCCAGCAAGCTCCCCATGTGCTCTGAGCCTCAGTGTCCCCGTCTGTGGTGGTGTCCACCTTGTGTCCTGTGGTCAAGACTGAATGAGATGCTTCCGTAGCTCAGCACTGTGTTTCCTAAGTGGCATTTTTAAGTGGTGAGCGCCCCTACTGTCCCGACCTTTGGTCGAGGTCAAGGAAAGAGAATTCTGGGATTTTAGAGGATCCTCCCGCGGGGGCTGCACCTCGAGGGCACCAAAGCCTCCACTGCCAAGGAGACAGTGCCCAAGCGTATCATACTCGGCACCTAAGAGTGCAGGACCGCGGAGGGGACCCAGTTTGAGACAGAAACACGTGGGGCAAAGTGGACCGGCCGGGCATCCTGGCACCTGCGACTGTGCCCAGGGAGGTGCTGCAGCTCCACGGTTCTGAGCCTGGCTGGGCCTCTGCACTCTGAGCTGTCCTGACTTCCTCCACATTTGCTGGGCAGCAAGAAAACCACCAGGCCCCCAGCGGAGACGGGCAGCCGCCGCCTGGCCTCTGTTGCTGGCATCGGGCTCTGCTTGGCCTGGCTCCCATCCGTCTGGGGCCCGTGGTCACCTGAGGCCACGGATGCAGCAGGAAGGTGGCCTCCTGCCCTCCCGAGGAGCTGCGGACAGAGCAGCAGGAGGGCCGTACACTGACCTTGCACGGGGAAGGACTGACACACCCGGTGTCGTGTCCTCAACCTGACCTGAAAGACAGGGTGCATCGGCCTGGATCAAACAGCACCTCACACCACAGCCTCTAGGGACAGCCGTGTTCCCAGCCAGCCCAGAGATGAGAGGGGCAGAGCATCACCAGGCGGCACTGCTGGGAGAATCCAGGCAGGAGGGGACAGCAGTCCAGGGAGAGACCAAGCAGGGTCCCCCATCCACGGCAGGGGCCGTGCAGAGCTGCGAGCAGGTGGAGTTCGAGGGTCTGAGGGCATGGGGTGGGGTCCAGCCACCAGGAAGAAGGGGCAGGAGTGGCCCAAGGAGCCTCCTAGGGTAGGGGAAGGAGCCAGAAGCCAGAGCCTGAGACAGGGCCGTGTGGGCGCCTCATCACGTCCTGGCTGCCCCCCATTCCTGAGCCCCATGATGGCCCTGAGAAGTACATCCACATAGCGGCCCCCTGCCTGGGCCCTCAGCTTGGGGATGGCGCCCAGCAGGGAGGGGTGCTGGCAGCTGGTCACCAAGGCTCTTGGGTGGCCAACAGGTTTGCCAAAACACAGAGTCACAGCACATGCATCCCCCTGTGTCCAGCAAGCCAGAGGACCTGCACAACCCTGCTAAGTCAGACCGTTTGGCCAGGTGTGGCAGGCACAGAGGCTGGGGTGGCTGGGTTTGTTTACCTCTGTCTCCTGGACAAGTCCATACTGAACAAAGAGGAGCTGGTGGCCAGAGGCTCACCTTGGACCCTGCTGACCTGTGCCCCAAACAAGTGGAGGGCGGCTGTGACGTG